TTGACCTGAACGGCCATATTGGAATAGGTTGCCTAATTGGCCTATTGTTGGGGAGGCGTTCAGATTACGCCGAGTTATGTTGTATCTTTGTCCTTTGTTACCAATTAGACAAAGACAAAGATGTTCGGTAAATGTACTAGAAATAAAACTCGCTATTTTACAACCACTACCTAAAACCTATGTGCGTCCTTTACACAATATAAGAAAATCAAGGATAGGTATAATCTGTCTTGATATCTAGTACAATTATCCTAAAAATTTGCCCCATGTTGCCCAATCTCTTTTAAAATCTGTATATCTAAACACCATAAGGGGCTATAATGGGTATAATAAGTATAATCCACAAAAATACGCCCCTTGAAACCCGAAAACCCATTGTTTGACAAGGGGATTTTTTGAGTGGATGGCTATATATGACTTAAAAATGTTGGGTCACTCTGTAAGAGGCTCAAAATCCTAAAGCTTGATGTGTTTTATTATTAAAAAATAAACTATAGTTAATAGAATTTCCGCTGAAGGCACAAAACTACAAAGAACCAAGAAAAAAAGAGTCTTATCTGAACTGATCGGAGAATGACCCATGGAACCATCATAATGTTTACGGGCGGGTCGTGACTCGCGACCAAAAGAGCGTGTGGACCGCATTATAATTTTTTTTTCTCGGTGGACCAGTCGCCAACCCAATAAAGATCAACAACTTTCACGTGTATCGTGTATATGGGCTTTTTATGGAACGCGGTTTTCATTATGTATGACAATTTGAATAACTGACTCACAACAAAACACCATTCAGTAGATTTTCATCCTGAGATGATGGAGAAATCAATTAGATTTGCTTGATTTTTCTACAGAAAAGTCATATTTCTGTTAATTATAGAGTTAAAGTAGTAAAGCTATATCGGTTCTGGAACCATCATAGAGCTAAAATTGAACTAAAAAAACTCAAAAATGAACTTCTGGTTCATCTTTCAATTTCTCAGAATATTGACTTTAAAGACTCTGAAGCTTTAAAAACTTCAAAATATTCTAAAGAAAGCTTATGATTGATCCAGGACTCAACACTATATACTTTAAAACTTCTGAGGTCTTCTCATTTGATGCTGAAGATTTTAAAGTTAAAATCTTTATAAATTGGAAAGACTTTAAAGGTCCATCATTGAAGACAATTCAAAGTGCCACATTTTAGCCTGATTTTAAAGACTTAAAGACTTCTACTGTCTAATCATGAGGCTTATAATTAACTTATAGACAAGTGTGTATGCTTAAAATTTAAGTACCTATTCCACACTCATTACCAAAAAACAAAAAATATTACTTCATATACTTGAATCGCCACAGGCTCCTATTAAACCCCCAAAGAGAGTCAAACTTTGAACCCTTTATGGAATGTAAAAACAAGAGAACTATGCAAATTAGACTCGGCCTTTGCACAACGGTCAAAATGGCAATTTGAAAACTCAATATTGTGTCTAACTTCTGACCGCAAAGCGGGGGGTGAATTTTGTTGAAGTTTAGCTCAGTAAAATGTATAGAGAACATGCATAGGGCGTTTAGCATACCAAAAGGGCATTTTTGTTATTATTGTGTTTTACTATTAATATTTAAAGGTTTTTAGCTGAAGTTTCAAAAAAAAAAAACGCAAAATAATAAAATTGAGTGTGACTGCAAGTACACTGATGTGTAATGTGTAAGTAAACGTCTCGTTAACGGCATACCAATGACGTCATAAAAGTTACTACGCACCTCTTTGATTATTGTCATGAAAATCTAATGCCACCTGCGCGAGGTTATGACGTCACACTTACGTCCCATTTGCCGAAATTTACCCTCAAACTGCCGGTATAGATGTTTACTATATCAAAAATGGTGCGTGCTCAAGACAACATGACAGAAGTAAAAACTTGAATTCGTTGAGTATATATGTGGGTAATTTATTTATTCAATATGGCGCCGTGGGCATAATAAACTTGGCAACCGTAAAGGTATATTTACAATAAATTCGAATTCAAATCAAGATTGAATGTAAACGTACCTTCTCGGTCGTCAAGTTTGTTATGCCCACGACGCCATATTGACAAACCTAACATAGAAAGATTATCGATTCTTGTCTTGTGAAATTTTTTTTTTTTTGGCTTGAAGCAGTTTTACTATTCGTCGCTACTATTTATTAGTAATATTATAAGAAATTTTCAAGTGTTTTGACCGGTCGATTACAGTTGACAGATATACAATGAATTTACCGTCATCTGTCAACTAATTGGTGTTAAATGCATTGTTCATCTGTCAATGTTACCAACTGATTGATCGCTTGAAACCTCTCGTTAACCTTGGTTAAGTAACAAATACCTTAGAATGTGACAACGATAATATGACATCATTATGGTGTAGCACATTCTAAGGATATTGTTTACCAACAAACACTTATCAAAGTTTCAAAATATTATAAGAAATTTTCAAGTGTTTTGACCGGTCGATTACAGTTGACAGATATACAATGAATTTACTGTCATCTGTCAACTAATTGGTGTTAAATGCATTGTTCATCTATCAATGTTACCAACTGATTGATCGCTTGAAACCTCTCGTTAACCTTGGTTAAGTAACAAATACCTTAGAATGTGACAACGATAATATGACATCATTATGGTGTAGCACATTCTAAGGATATTGTTTACCAACAAACACTTATCAAAGTTTCAAAATATTATAAGTAATTTTTAAGTGTTTTGACCAGTCGATTACAGTTGACAGATATACAATGAATTTACCGTCATCTGTCAACTAATTGGTGTTAAATGCATTGTTCATCTGTCAATGTTACCAACTGATTGATCGCTTGAAACCTCTCGTTAACCTTGGTTAAGTAACAAATACCTTAGAATGTGACAACGATAATATGACATCATTATGGTGTAGCACATTCTAAGGATATTGTTTACTAACAAACACTTATCAAAGTTTCAAAATATTATAAGAAATTTTCAAGTGTTTTGACCGTTCGATTACAGTTGACAGATATATAATGAATTTACCGTCATTTGTCAACTAATTGGTGTTAAATGCATTGTTCATCTGTCAATGTTACCAACTGATTGATCGCTTGAAACCTCTCGTTAACCTTGGTTAGTTAACAAATACCTTAGAATGTGTCAACATTAATATAACATCATTAATTGTGTAGCACATTCTAAAGATTTGTTTACCAACAAAAATTTATCAAAAAATCGATATAGTGGCCCTAATGGTATCTAGTGTCTAAAGATCCAGATTTTAAAAGATATTTGGCAACATGGAGACAAATTTTTAGGTTCATTGTACTAAGACCGATTATACCTATCCTTTATTTTCTTATATTGCACTTAGGTTTTAGATAGTGGCTTTGAAATAGCGAGTTTTATTTCTAATATATTTAACGAACATCTTTGTCTTTGTCTAATTGTTAAGACAAGGATACAACATAGCCCGGCGTAATCTGAACGCTTCCCCAACAAAAGGGTGATTTGACGTTCTCTTAATTCAATATGGCGCCGTGGGAATAACACACCTGACAACCGTTTACAGTCAATTCCCATTCAAATTGCAATCAATTAGAATTGAAAGTAAACGGTTGTCACGTGTGTGATTCCCACGGCGCCATATTGAATTATCAACTGATTCGAATTGCTTAATGGAATACAAATTTAGACGTTACTTGAAAAATCAACGTGAGCTAGACAAAGATAGATATATCGATTCACGTCGGACTCGAGATAGAATTGAATTGAAAAATGTACTAAATTTCCACTTCGCAGTTTTGGGCTTCTGACGTCACATTCCTAGTAGCAGTTTAAAAATTCGATTCAAAGTGGCCTATTGCGAAGGCGAGTTCACTTTATTTTCCACATCCAAGTAGGCCTTTCAAAGTGGGTATAACGTTTCTCTTGCTTTATTCTTATGAGAGGGAGAGAGATATATATGACTCACTAGTAGAATTCCATTTGGTAATTTTTGAGTTTAATTTGATTGAGGTTATGTTTATGTTATTTATAGAGTGGATTTCGTAAAATTTTTTACTCGAAATTAAAAAATACAGAACGTTTTCGTAATGGAAATAGAGCCAATTTGTATTCGTAAAAATGTAGAAGAAATCAAGGTTGTCTGATACCTTTTATGACGTCATCTGGGGTGCTTCAACATAATGCAAATAATTATCCGTAAGGCACCCCAGATGACGTCATTATAAGTACCCCTTACCAGACAACCTTTTAACTTTAGGAACTTTGCTAGAAACAGAAACAATATATACTTTGTTAAAAATGTATTTTTGTCAATGACAAATCTAGGGATTTTTTTTTGGTCAAAAGTATTTTTTGGTTGGCACAACTGTTGGTATGTCAAATGTCAATTGTCTGTATACAACCATGAAATGTCATCTTTGATAATTTGACATATCCATTTATTGTAAAGTGGGGAAAATATTGAACGATGTATATTTTCGACGTTTCAAGCTGAAAAATCTATCATCAAACATATTATTTTCTTTTGAATTAACCCTTATTGAATTTTCTGGACGTCTATTCTTGAAAGCCTGAGATCGATTGCCCCATCTTTATCGCAAATACCAGTAAAACAGACAAAGACAGGACATCTCTCTCATTTCAACCCTGGTTTCGAGAATAAGAACCCTGATAGAGTTTTGGCATGATTCACTCTATAATTGAAAAGTTAGTTTTGGTGTTCGACAATACTACATCCTACAGTATACCTATCTCTGTCTTGTTTTCAATTGTCAAGCCCGGTTCATCCAAGTAGGCGTATCAAAAGTTTCTCTTGATTCATAGGCGGAGGTAGAAGATTTCAATAATTATTATAATCTGCTTGCAATAATCTTATCCGCGATAGTTTGGGTAATTTTCCTTGTTATGTATAGGCACGCCAATGAACTATAATAAATGCATTGATGTTGTACTCTGGGATTAGAAAACAAGAGTATAGTAAAGTGAATTCACATTTTATTACAGGAAAAAAGCGGATATCAGGAACGATGTGGACAAAGCAGAACCAAAAGACTTGACCAATAGGAGTAATATGTTTCCCAGTGCCCAAATTAAAATGAGGTGAGCATAAACTTAAATTTTAGACAGCTGTCAAAGTAGAATTTAATAGTTCAATGTCCAATAAGCATCATACCTGTCAAATTAGAGACAACTGAGCTTCAAATTTGTGTCATTTTTATACAAACAACTCACGTATTTTGCAATATATACATCTGTCAAAGCTGATGTGTCAAGTAACGCAATTCGAATGTTATGACGTCATTACATCTTAATTAGAGAAAAATCAATTTAGTTTTTCCATTCATAATGTTCGTATTACTGGGTCATGTATAAACTAGCAAAATCCCGCCCATATTAGTGCTGAATATGCAGCGCTAATCCAAATAATAATTATCGCGAGCAAACACCCACACATAACAACGTTCGATAGAGATTTATCGCCCAAACTACTAAACGGTAACGTTAAAAGATATATAAATGGAAATTTGATGCAGATGCTAAAACTAATAATGTATAGGTTTTTTATGTTATATTTAGCATGACGTCATCGAACAAGTACAGACAATGTTGTCAATGCCTATTTTTTTCTTATAATTTACCAGAATTTTTAGTGTCAATAATTCTGACGGCAGCTAAAAATAACGAAATGAAAATGTTTTTACAAGTCATGCCAACCAAAAACGTCTGAAATTCCCCTATTTTAAATGCGATAAAAAATACTTTTAGTTTTGTTAGGTTGGCAGCACAAATTTACTAAATGTGACGTCATCCTAAATATAGTGTAAATGAATCCATAATTTCAGATTAATGTCCCCAAATATATCGCCGGCTACGTCGCCCACAATGTCGACTTCGTCGTCACCCACGCCGCCTCCGGCGGCCAATTCGACAATGTCCGCCAGTTACAACAAAATGACAGGAATTCCATGTGTGGCGGCCGCTTCTAGGTACACAGCGCCGGTGCACATAGATGTCGGTGGTACTATTTACACGTCATCGTTGGAAACTTTAACCAAGTAAGTCAATAATTTTTGTTTGAAAATTGCCCACAGGACGCCATTACCAAAATTACAGCCATCTGTATAAAAAATTGTAGCTATAAGGCCTACTATGATATTTTTTGACACGCGAAGTTAGCGCTAACATGGCCGCCTATGACAGTTTTTGCTTACATTTTCTTTGAAAAATGGCTTTTTTTTCAAAACTATTATCGTGTTGGCTGTGATAGATTCAATGCCCCACATTCACAAGGATTTAAAATCAGAAATTATTCGATACAAATACAAACAAGTTTAAAATGGCCGCCCAAGGCCTCCTTTGACGTTTTTGAAAGGTGAAGTTAGCTTGTATATGGCCTATGAGATCTTTATTTGAAAAACACAATTTCAAAATGGTCGCCCAAAGCCTGCTGGGATGTTTTTGAAACGCGAAGTTAGCTAATAATATGGCCGCCTATGACAGTTTTTGCTCACCTCCCTCTGAAAAATGGCTTTTTCAAAAAAATTTGTCGTATTGGTTGTGGTAGATTCAATACCCCACATTCACAAGGATTTAAAATCGGAAATTATTCGATAAGAACAAGTTTAAAATGGCCGCCCAAGGCCTCCTTTGACGTATTTGAAAGGTAAAGTTAGCCTATATATGGCCGCCTATGAGATCTCTACTTTGAAAAATACAATTTCAAAATGGTCGCCCAAAGCCTACTTTGACGTTTTGGGATGGTGAAGTTAGCTAATAATATGGCTGCCTATGACAGTTTTTGCTCACCTTTCTTTGAAAAATGGCTTTTTTTTTAAAAAATAGTAACATACTACAGCCAGTAGTTTCAATGCCTCACATTCAAAAGGATTTAAAATCGGAAATTATTCGAGATAAAAATAAGTTTAAAATGGCCGCCCAAGGCCTCCTTTGACGTATTTGAAAGGTAAAGTTAGCCTATATATGGCCGCCTATGAGATCTCTACTTTGAAAAATACAATTTCAAAATGGTCGCCCAAAGCCTACTTTGACGTTTTGGGATGGTGAAGTTAGCTAATAATATGGCTGCCTATGACAGTTTTTGCTCACCTTTCTTTGAAAAATGGCTTTTTTTTTAAAAAATAGTAACATACTACAGCCAGTAGTTTCAATGCCTCACATTCAAAAGGATTTAAAATCGGAAATTATTCGAGATAAAAATAAGTTTAAAATGGCCGCCCAAGGCCTCCTTTGACGTATTTGAAAGGTGAAATTAGCTTGTATATGGCCGCCTATGAGATCTTTATTTGAAAAACACAATTTCAAAATGGTCGCCCAAAGCCTACTGGGATGTTTTTGAAACGCGAAGTTAGCTAATAATATGGCCGCCTATGACAGTTTTTGCTCACCTCCCTCTGAAAAATGGCTTTTTCAAAAAAATTTGTCGTATTGGTTGTGGTAGATTCAATACCCCACATTCACAAGGATTTAAAATCGGAAATTATTCGATAAGAACAAGTTTAAAATGGCCGCCCAAGGCCTCCTTTGACGTATTTGAAAGGTAAAGTTAGCCTATATATGGCCGCCTATGAGATCTCTACTTTGAAAAATACAATTTCAAAATGGTCGCCCAAAGTCTACTTTGACGTTTTGGGATGGTGAAGTTAGCTAATAATATGGCTGCCTATGACAGTTTTTGCTCACCTTTCTTTGAAAAATGGCTTTTTTTTTAAAAATAGTAACATACTACAGCCAGTAGTTTCAATGCCTCACATTCAAAAGGATTTAAAATCGGAAATTATTCGAGATAAAAATAAGTTTAAAATGGCCGCCCAAGGCCTCCTTTGACGTATTTGAAAGGTGAAATTAGCTTGTATATGGCCGCCTATGAGATCTCTACTTTGAAAAATACAATTTCAAAATGGTCGCCCAAAGCCTACTTTGACGTTTTGGGATGGTGAAGTTAGCTAATAATATGGCCGCCTATGACAGTTTTTGCTCACCTTTCTTTGAAAAATGTTTTTTTTTTTTAAATAGTGTCATACATATATTCAATGCCTCACATTCACAAGGATTTAAAATCGGAAATTATTCGATAAAAACAAGTTTAAAATGGCCGCCCAAAGCCTCCTTTGACGTATTTGAAAGGCGAAGTTAGCTTGTAGGTATATGACCGCCTATGAGATCTTTATTTGAAAAATACAATTTCAAAATGGTCGCCCAAAGCCTACTGTGATGTTTTTGGAACGCGAAGTTAGCTAATAATATGGCCGCCTATGCCAATTTTTACTTACCTTTGTTGATATATTTCTCGAAAAGGAAAATCACGTGCTGAAAATCGGAAAATATTCCCTAACCAATTTACTCTCAAAACTTCTCCGGATTACTTCGAAATTTTTCTGAATTCGTACCTTTAGCTGTCAAAACTATATACAGGGTGTCCCACTACTGGGAGATCGATCTACCTACATACAGGTTTTTCATACCTATAGATCGATTTGGTTCCCGGTGAGAGTGGCGGGTCACCCTGTATATGTGTTCGCCCAGATTGCACAATTATTATTAAAAAATAAAAGATCTGAAACAATGAAATTTGCTTACCACTTGATTATTGACAATTGCCTTTTACTCGCAAACTATAGTGAAATACTCACAAACGCGAATAATTACTCACTAATTGGCAACCCTGCTGTCAACTGCCATGTGTGACAGTGACAAGCGTTATTTCAAAATGGGGTCGCACGAGTCCTCAAGGCCTCCTTTGATTTTTCAAAACGTATTGGTAATATTGTCATCAGAAATAGGTGCTACCTGACGTCACACACATAACCTCAATGACATGTTTGTCCCCCTATAGAAAGTCACGTTATGTCATTGTTGACAAGCTAGCGCGTGTGTGTTAAATAGACCTTTCAAACGCTTTGTTTGCCCCCCCAACGGAAGTGAGGTTATGTGTGTAACGTCAGCTAGTGCCTAATTGGAGGATACTTTTAATTTGAGAATTTGAAAGATGAAAAGACACTAATGACAGTTTTTGAAGTGAAACTTCTTACGACGGTCTGACATATGGACTAAAGTGGAAAGTAATTTGAAAAATGGGTTACGATAGAGAAGAAGGATATAACGTAGAGAGACGGAGAAAAACAGGAAACGTTACGTTTTGGCAAATTTCGTTACACGAGAGAGAAGAAAGATATAACGCAGATAGACGGAGGAAAACAGCCATATATTTGGGGCGTAACGATACTTGACAATGACAGGCGATGAACGATTCACAGAAACCAAGGATTATAAGCAAAGAAAATTGATTGCCTGTCATTGTGTAGCGCCGATACCCTTGTGACGTCACTACAAATGCGCATACCAATAGGTAAATTCATCTTGCAGATAGTTACCATCAAGTTTATTTGAAGATGAATAAACCGGGCCTATAATATGTATTGTATGCAAAATATCGTTTTCTTACCTGGCCTTATATGTATAAGTTGGCAACTGAAAAAAGAGCGTTTCTGTCTGAGGTGAAGGGAGAGGAAAAAATGAAATGGAAATACACACTTGCGGTAAAATAGAGCGTAATAGAAATACATACATATTAGTTTGCATATTTTCCGCAGTTCAATTTACAGAAGGTTGATTTCCGAAACCAGGCAACATTGTTCTCATGGAAACCAGTTTTCTGTCTTTGTTACTCATGTCAGATTTTGCAGGAAACTGAGAGGGACAGGGCACTTAGGCACTGGTTCTCATATTGACCGTGCCTCCAGTAAGCTTCAACTTCAACATAGGCTAAGTTCGGTAATTGCATCTGCTAGCAAATTTTGACGGACGTCACGTGATCACTTATCTTTTTTCACTTGTCAAATCACGTGCCGTCTGTCAAATTTTGCTCATTTTGCTCGTAGATGCAATTTACCGCCATTGTATCTAGGATCTATGAAACGTCGATGTCAACTGTCAAGACAAGACACTGTCAGTCCTAAACAAATATCCGATCATATGAACAGAATATTGATATCTCTGTCTGGTGGTGTACTCAAATTCCTACTCACATCTTTTTTTTTTTAACAAAATAAATGTAGCCATTCTTGCCAAGAATCCAATCTACTCCTGTCATCTGTAAAATACATCATTTCAAAATGGCCGCCCAAAGCCTACTTGGATGTTTTTAAAAAGTGAAGTTAGCTGCTGCCTATGACAGTTCTTGCTGACATTTTCTTTGAAAAATGGATTTTTTTTACTATTTCCATGTTGTTTGATGCTAATAATATCAGCGTTTCCATAATAAAGACCTTATGACACAATATTTTTGCCGCAAAATCGGCTGTAAATCCGAATTTATAATTTTAAAATGGCCGCCCAAGGCCTTCTCTGATATTTTTGACAGATGAAGTTAGCTTATATGGCCGCCTATGACAATTTTTACTTACCTTTGTTGATATTTTTATTGGAAAATCACATTTTCTTTGATTATTTCTCTACTGTTTATGGTAAATTCAATGCCCCACACTACAAAGTAACGTTAGAAAACGCTTTTCCGCCCTAAAATCAGCTGAAAATTGGAAAATATTCGCGATGCGCATAGCATTCCAGAACCGAGACATATGTCATCTATGACAAGTGACAATTTCAAAATGGCCACTTAAGGACAAGGATAATATACACTACACAGGCAATGAATACACATTACTACAAACTACAAGATTGCTTATTGACCTCGTTTTTGATAATCGCGGCCATATCATGGTGTAGCACCATTTTCGATGTGTGAAATTTGTCAATTTCTATACTTGTCATGTAATAATACTCTATCTTACCCGGCTTTACATGTATAGGTTGGCAATTGAGAAAAGAGCGTTTCGTTCTGTAGTGAAAGGAGAGGAAAAAAATATATGGAAATATACAGTTGCAATGCAATAGAGCGTGATAGAAATATTAGTTCGCATGTTTGCCGCTGTTCAATTCCCGCTGGTCGCACTTTACAGGAGGTTGATTCTCGAAACAAAAGAGCATCCCACAGCGTTCTTATGAGAAGAAGTTTTCTTTCTTTGTCACTCGTATCAGATTTTGTAGGGAACTGAGAAGGACGCATCAGGGCTCTTATTCTTATGGAAACCCGGCTTTCTCGCTTCGAAATAATTGAGCGCTTCATTTTCAAAATATCATCTAGAGATCTATGAAACGTCGATGTCAACTGTCAAGACTATGTCAGTATTATGAACAGAATATTGATTTCTCTGTCTAGTGTTCTCAAATTCCTATTTACATCTTTTTTTTTTACACGAAATAAATAGGTCTATTGTAATTCTTGCTTAGAATCCAATCCACTGATGCCATCTGTGAAAAACACATTTTCAAAATGGCCGTCGAAAGGTTCAAAGCCTACTTTGATGTTTTTAAAGCGCGAAATTAGCTAATTAGGCAATCCATTGATTGTCCTGTCAAACGAAATTCAATATGGCCGTCCGGGTCAAACACCGTGTTATTCATATTTTTATAGGTTTAAGTTTTTGATAAAAATTAATGAAAAATTATTTATTTTGTCACATTCTACTATGTTTATCATTGGCATTGTCATGTTCACCATCTACAAGGACCAGGCCCAGAACACAAATGCTTTCCTTATGAACGTCACCACAATATTTAACCTGAACGGCCATATTGAATGGCGTGACTGGATTACGTAATATGGCCGCCTATGACATTACTTACCTTTGTTGATATCATAGCACTCCAGAACCGAGACATCTGTCATCTGTGACAAGTGACAAGTACAAAATTTTAAACATCTCTTTCTGATGGAACGCTTTGAAAGGTTGTGAAACATTTTAACACGATACATTTTGGTGTTGCAACGGTGATGTCATAGACGGAAATAGTCTGTTTCAAAATAGACGTAGTTGACTTCAAAATACCATCGGGTAGAGTACTTACATAAAACAATAATTTCAGCAATGTCACGTGTTCCGTTTTAAAACAGGGCAATTTTTGATTACCACCGATATGATGACGTAGTAATCGAACTGGTATGGCTTCTCAAGGCCAAGGATATTACACACTAAACAACATAGCTTTTTTCCCCACCACTCCAAAGTATCAGTGATGAAGTAGGCAGCAAAGTGTTTGCCCCCCACAAGCTAATTTTTGTTTTATGCATACTTAGTTTTACTACGATAATTAACATTCCGAAGCAGCTCTTTTTTAGGTCTCGTTTGCGTCTTCCTCTTTGCATATTATGTTAATCAAATTTAAATAATGCTGACGCAAACAGCTAACAACACCGTTGATGACGTCGGCATCGGTGCAATGCCATATGGCCTTGATTCTAAAAATCGAGGCCGATAAGAAATCCTGTTATAGTGTGTGGTGATATCTTTGTCTCATGTTTGATGTTTTGAAACGAGAAGTTTTTCTTGTATATCGCCGCCAATGAGAATTTTCGATTAGCTTGATGATATTTTCTATGAAAAATTGCATTCTTATTCAATATTGCTGTGTTGCTTAACATAATTTTAAAATGTCCGCCCAAGGTCTCCTTCGATGTTTTTGACAGATGAAGTTAGCTAACAAATATGGCAGCCTATGACAATTTTTACTTACCTTTGTAGATATTTGAATGGGAAAAATCACATTTTCCCTACTTTTTATGGTAAATTCAATGCCCTCACTCAAAGGAACATTCTAAACGTTTTTCCGCCCTAAAATAAGTTGAAAATCGGAAAATATTCGATGTGCATAGTATTATTAGAACCGAGACAACTGTTAGTGATAAATACAATTTCAAAATGGCTTCCCAAGGCCAAGGATATTACATACTATACAGGATAGCTTTCATAAGGCCTTTTTATGAAAAATTGCATTCTTTTTTAATACCGCTGTGTTGCTTATGTTAGATTCAGTGCCCCCTATCACAAGCAACTTTCGCATTGAAATCTCCCAGGAGGCCCGGATCACAATAAATATAATACGCTTTATCAGTGTGACGTCATAATTTGACAGCCTGACAACAAACTTCCGGTCTGTTTTAATTTACACTTCTTTCAACATGTGACGTCAGCACCATGGGTTTCATGCGGCACTACATTGGAGGTAACATAACTTAAAAATTAGTGAAATCTGTTTCATAGAATAAGATCTGTTTTTTTTAAAGATAATTCCCCAAGTCAAAAATTTAGTAACTATGTTGGCAACACAAGCCTTTTCTACATAAAAAATTTGAAAGCCTTGACAATTTTACATTGTATTGCCAATATAATGTCATTTTGACTTTTATCTTTAGAAAAAAACAGACTTTATATATCGATATAAACAAATCGGACAAGGTTAGGCTGTCTTACCTCCAGTGTCAATTCAGTGACGTCACGTGCAGGAAACCAATTGCAATTTGCGTCAACGACCAGTCAAAACATAAATTAAATATGGCGGCAATGGTCAAACATCTGTGATGTGTGATTATTTTTTTGTTTATACACGGAAATTATTCCTCTCAAGCAATAGAAAATCCCCTTAAAACTCCACAAATTATACAGAGACCAGTTTTATGGTAACCAAACGTCACTGTTGTCTGAAGGTGAATGAATTCCATTGTTTAACCTTGGCCGCCATATGGATTGGATTGCCGTATATAAATGACGTAATTTTGACATAAAAATTCTATTTCACATGACAATTGGTATTGAAAATATTGTCAAAAATAAATGGCCGCTTGGGCTGAGTTCGGCTCTACACTATGTAAATTCTGAGCGTGCTCAAAACAACAAGATCTTGTTCGTTTTAGCTCTTCAGAGTGTTCTCTTTTGCGCATGACGTCACAATCACGATATCTATGGTCATATCGTTCCACTTCGTGGAGTGCAAAGCCAAACTCAGTATTGGTAACGTGACATCCCTTAACTAGAATTCCATTCAATTGTAATTGTGCCACTCCTGTGACAAACACAATTTCAAAATGGCTGCCCAAAGCCTACTATGATGTGTTTGTATTTATGTAGCAAGACGTACAAACATTTTAAACAATTACCACTACCTACTCATAAGACATTTTATTCAAATAGCAAAACATCAAATACACATCTTAATTAATTTTTTTCTTGGTGACACCTTATCAGTCGCTCGCCTTCCTCTAAAACGGCTCTAACATCCACCATCAAATCCCCATCCAAATTTGGTCCGATCCTGTCTTTGTCCTCTTCAAGTTCCTGAATCCCATGAACCAAAAGCTGCTCATCATTCTGGTTCATTTTATTAGTGGGCACTTCTTTAGATGGGACAATCAAAATGGCGTCTTGATTAATTTCAGGCTCGGCAACAAAATTCGGAGCCTCATCTTCTTCAGAAACTGTTGCCAACAAATCGTGATGGCTCAATTCTGAGCAGATTGAAACATCTGGAGTCAAGTTTTTAGATTCCGAGTGCATTTCTTTGATTTCAGTTAAATTCATTAGTAGAATTGTCTTTTGTATGTCCAGCTCGTTCAAAAGCCCTCTGAGTTGGTTATCTGAAGTGTTTGCATACAGGGTGCTGATTTCATTGGCAGACTGTAAAAGGCTTGTTTTCAGGTTTATTAAAAGTTTATCCATTTGGTTTTCAAGGCCGCAAATTTTTAGTTCTAAAACAGTGTTTTCAATAGGGATTCCTAATGGGTCGGTTTTGAGTTTAGCTGCATTGATGTCAGCTAGGAGGGTTTGTTTCGAGTTTTGGATGCTCACTAGTTTGTCAACTAAATCCTGGTTGCTTATTGAAGCTGGAATAGTTTCTAGATTAGCAATTTCTTGTTTCAATAATAAGTTTTCTTGCACAAAAGCATTTTGTTGTTCGTTTGCTTTTTTCAACAGCTCTATGTCGCTTAAGAGGAGCTCTTTTTCCTTTTCCAGTTCAACTAAGGCATCTGTCAAATAAGGCCCTTCTGGGTTTAGCTGCTTTATTTCACTAGAGCCTCGTTGGATGTCATCTAGAGCACTTTTAAGCCTACATTCAATGTCAGCCTTGTTATTATCCGAATGGTCTTTGTCCAAATATTCATTCATCAACTCATCTTCAAGTTCTTGTTTTTGATTTTCCAAGTCTACAATGGCTTGTCTAAGAAAATCAACCTCCAATGTAAGCTTGCGACATTTTGCGGCATCTTGACGAGTAATTTCAAAGGTAGAATCCAACAATCTTCGTAGTTTCTCGTTTTGTACTTCCAACTGACGGATTTTTGTAGAAATTGCGTCCGACATTTTTTGATTTTGACAACGAGAATTTTGATTTTTTAATATCAATCAATGTGACATTGACACTCTATTTTTCGAAATTTTTGTACTAATGGAAATTCAAAATGAAATAATCAAAACTAGGAAGCGTATAGGGCTTTTGGAGCAGCAAAATTCAGCGTTTAAAGCCCTGCTAGATGAAGCGTTAATTGTTACGGAAAAATCTTCCAGAAAATCTGAAGAGGAATTTCTACAAGAGACTATTGGAATCATACAAAAAGAAAGCGAAAATGTTAGAAGAGATTTGAGTTTTATCGACAATGATAGTGGAGAAGATACAATTGACATCATCAAAAACCTGGAAAACCTAACAAAAATCCAACAAACGCAAATAAACAATTTGAAACAAGAACAAGCAGAAATCAAGTTTCTACTCCTACACCCAAAATCAAACAACCCCAAATGGCTGAGAAACATCCTAGAACTAGAAAGTGACCTTTCCGGTAACAACAAAAACTCCACCCTAGTAGAAGAACGCTTCCGCTTACAACGCAAAATAATCAACTTAGAAAACAAGAAACACGAATTGTTCCAGGCAATCAACAATGCAGCAATTATTCCAACAAATAACCAATACATTGACCAATCGGAACCGTTTAACCAATACAGCGATTTACGTTACAAAATGCTGAATTTAGAAGACGAAAGATCCAGACTTTTGAATGAGTTACAGGGTGTTTTGGATCGGTCCAGGCACGAAATTGCGCACGAATATCAAAAGTTGCAAGAAAAAATTGTTAAGGTTGGAGGGCACAGGGCTGATTTGAGTGTACAGTATGAGGTGGAGTTGACTAGTGAGGAGTTGGACAATTTTCAAGAAGATGAGACAAATCAAAGGATCAGTGAGTTGCCGAGTAATTTGGATGGGCCAAGGTTGAATGTGTTGCCGGTTTACTGCTGTATTTTATAAAATAAATGGATTTTTGAGGAGATTTTAATTGATAATTCATATTTTTTCTATTCCAGGCTTTTGAATTTTCTTTGTTTCATACAAAATCTTAGCCCAGGTAACTTGTATGACGTTATTTGGGGTATTTCGACATAATCCGAATCTTGACTAGGTCCCCTGATGACGTCATCTGTTTGCCATTACCAGACAAACTATTGAAAATTAAGGAACATTGATCTACACAGGCCTTATAAGGATAGGCTATCCTTTGTAGTGTGTAATATCCTTAGCTATAATAGTTCTTGTTTACTTTGGCAATATTTTCTTTGAAAAATGGCTTGTTTGAATTTATTTGATGTGATATTGACTAAGGTAGATTCAACAATCCGCATTAAAAGGAACATTTTCGACCCAAAATTGAAAATTATTCGATAAAGACCAAGGTTGTTTGAAAAAGGCCTGATAACTTTTATGACGTCATCTGGGGTTTCTAAAAAATAATGAAAATCTTCAATAGGTCCTCCTGATAACGTCATCTGTTTACCATTACTAAACAACCTATCAACTTTAGGTAGATAAAGACAATTGTCCGCCCAAGGCCTCCCTCGAGTCCTCCGTTATTTTTGACAGATGAAGTTATCTAATAAATATGGCCGCTTATGGTATTTTTACTCAAGGATGATACACACCTACAAGAATTGCTTATCGGCCTCGTTTTTGGTAATCGCCGCCATATTAGTATGTTACCATTTCGGACGTCATAACTAAAATCTGTCAATTTTAATCTGATACTCCAAAAAAATGTGAGCTGGTGGCTCCTTACATTAGAACGCCAATGGTCACCTGACGTCACACCTGTTTTTGCCATAAGCTTCACCCCCTCGCTCTTCATACGGAAAGTGTCAGATTAAAAACGACAGACAATAAAGTTGTCAGCTGCTTAAACAGTCTACGTCAAGGCTAAAAATAACATGCTGCCTACGTCACAACTGGTAATTTGCCGCAGGGAGAAAAGGAGAATATGTTACACACAGACCGTATGACAATAGGCCATCCTAGTAATAGTCTACATTATCCTTGATTTTTTGCTTACCTTTGTTGATATTGTTTTTTTCCGAAAAACCAAATGTTGTCTGTTTATTTTCCTACTGTTTATGATAAATTCAATGCCCCACACTACAAGGAAAGTTCCGAAACACTTTTCCGCACTAAAATCAGTTGAAAATCGAAAAATATCCGAAAAAATCAAAGACACGATCTGCACAGCACTCTAGAACCGAAACCACTGTCCACTGCTTTTTTGTGACAAGTGACAAGTACAATTAATTTTAAAATGGCCTCCCAAGGCCTCCTTCGATATTTTCAAATTTGAAAAGCTGAAGTTAGCTTGCATATAGCTGCCTATGAGAATTTTCGCGTAAATTAATAATATTTTTTTCTAAAAATGACATTTTGCCTTGAAATTGGCGGAAAAATGTTTTAGAAAAACCCAGAAAACTTTTAGGCCCGGATCACGATAAATAGAATCCTACCTGAGTGACGTAATTTTCACATCTGAATTATATTTTACATGACAGGTGGTTATGAAAATACTGTCAATAAAAATCAAGGATAATAGACACCTACAAAATTGCTTATCGGCCTCGTTTTTGGTAATGGCCGCCATATTGGTGTCACCATTCACGACGTCATAACTAAGTCGTCAACTGCCTGAACAGCCTACGTCAAGGCGAGAAATAACATCCTGCCTACGTCACAACTGGTATTTTCGCGAGGGGAGGATTTGTTACACAAGCCTTATGAAAATAGGCCATCATCATATAGCGGTCATAATGGTCAAACAATGTAATTGACACCAAAGATGTCATTTACCTTAAGACAACCGTGACGTTTGGTTATCATAAAACTGTTCTTTGTGTAATTTGTGGAGTTTCAAGTTTGCTTGAGAAGGATAATTTCTGTATTTTCGTAGTGTATGTATAGTGTATAAACAAAAAACAAAACACAGATGTCTGACCATTGCCGCCATATTCAATTTATAAAAACCTATTTTAATTTAAATAGCATTGGTTTTGTTTTGCAGAACAATGATACATTTGATACAACCATTACGTCGATCACAATGTTGGAAAAAAGTGTAAATTGAAACGGAACGAAAGTTTATTTAGAAACAAGCTGTCAAATTATGACGTCACACTGATGAAGCGCATTATGTTTATTGTGATCCGGGCCTGTGAAATGCGAAAGTGTGTTAAAAAGTTGCTTGTGATGCGGGGCATTGAATCTATCATAAGCAACGCAGCAATATTAGATGAAAATCTCCATAGGACACCCCAGATGACGTCATCAAGTTACTTCTTACGTTGACAACGTATAAACTTTAGGAACCTTGGCCATTTTTGGTTAAACCGTGTTTTAAAACGTTCCAAAACTGGTTCGATTGTTACGTCATCATATCGGTAGTAATCAAAAATTGCCCTGTTTTAAAACGGAACACGTGACATTTCTAAAATTATTAGGTTTGTTCCAACCCGTCAAAAAACCGTCCCAGAACGGTTTCGAAACCACTCTCATTCTGTATACGAATTTCGGTTTCTACACAAAAATTTTAGGTTTTGCGCAGAATCCTGACGGTAATATTATGGTTTTCTGCTGGATTGGAACAAAGCTATTATTTTATACCAAATGGAATTTTGAAACAGGCTGAAAGAGCGGTTCAATTCCAGTTGAACAGTTTCCGTATATGACGTCAACGTTGCAACACAGACCTTATGAAGATAAGCCATCCTAGTAGTAGACTGTATTATCCTTGATTTTTACTTACCTTTGTTGATATTGTTTTTTCCGGAAAAACCACATGTTGTCTGTTTATTTTCCTAGTGTTTATGGTAAATTCAAGGTCACACACTACAAGGAAAGTTCCAAAACACTTTTCCGCACTAAAATTATTTAAAAATCGAAAAATATTCGAAAAAAAAACAGAGACGCGACCCACAGCACTCTAGAACCGAAATCACTGTCAGTGTCAACACTGTCAATTGCCTTTTGTGACAACTATTAATTTTAAAATTTAAAATGGCCTCCCTCGATGTTTTGAAAACGTGAAGTTAGCTTGCATATGGCTGCCTATGAGCGTACATTATTGATATCTTCTTTGAAAAATGACATTTTTGTTATGTTTTAAAAAACCCAGAAAACTCCTAGGCCCGGATCACGATAAATAGAATCCTATCTGAGTGACGTAATTTTGACATCTGAATTATATTTTACATGACAGGTGGTTATGAAAATACTGTCAATAATAAACAAACGATTGCAAGGTTAATAGACACCTACAAAATTGCTTATCGGCCTCGTTTTTGGTAATGGCCGCCATATTGGTGTGTCACCATTTTCGACTAAGTCGTCAGCTGTTTATACAGCCTACGTCAAGGCGAAAAATAACATCCTGCCTACGTCATAACTGATAATTTGGCGTAGGAGTGAGGGGAGAATTTGTTACACACAGGCCTTATGAGGATAGGCCATCCTGTAGTAGTAGTGTGTATCATCCTTAAGGTAACGTAACGTCCCTAAATTGAAATTCTATTCAATCGTTATCCGGGCTCAGAACTCAGACTGTGAGAAACACAATTTCAAAATAGTCGCCCGCTTACTTTGATCTTTTTTAAAAGTAAAGTAGGCAATTGGAATCAGCTGATAATTCAAGATGGCGACGTGGGCATAATAAAGACCGTGAAGGTGCCTTTACATTCAATAATTCCAATTAATTGCAAATTTAGCGGGAATTGAATATATACGTGTCTTTATGGTTATCAAGTGTGTTATTCCATTGAGGTAGGGTAATGAACCTTGGTGATTCCCACGACGCCATATTGGATTGAGTGAATGTCAAATCGTCCTATTCTTATTTTGAGGTTAACTGTCAAAATCCACGGATAATACACACTACTACTACAAGATAATTTATCCTGATAAGGCCTGTGTAGATCAATTCTCGAACTCCCTCACCACGCTAAAGAACCAGTGATGACGTAGTTAGAGTGTCTTTTCTTGCCTTGACGTTGGTTTAAGTACATTAATTAGCATTTTTAAACAACTTTTTTTTTTAGATCTCGTTTGTCTATTATTTTAATCAAAATTACTCAATCGGACTTAAAGTGCGTCACTGGAAAATGACTCAGAGCACTTTTGCAGTGCACGAGTTCATTTGGTTTGACATCTCTGTTACATCACATTACCTGACGTTACTGTGTACTCTTCTCGCTCCGCTCGGGACAGAGCTACACTGTTCTGGGAATGAAAATTTGAATATTTGACGTTGAAGTTTCGTACTGAAATTGGATGTTTTTTTAGAGGGTTGTACTGACGTACTGAATTTGCTCATGTTGTATTGAATTCAGTACAATTGTACCGGAACGACAGCCTTGGTTATGACGTCGGAAATGGTATCACACCAATATGGCGGCGATTACCAAAAACGAGGCGGATAAGCACTCCTTAGAATGTGTATTCTCCTTGGGTTGCCTGCAAGATTGTTTGAGAAACGTGGGTTGCTTGATAACTTCTATGACGTCAGCTGGGGTGCCTTATCATAATGTAAATCTCTATAAACCACTCTAAATAACGTCATCAAGTTACTTATTACCAGACAACCTATTATTGGGAATCTTGGGTTGCCTGGATAACTTTTATGACGTCATCTGGGGTGCCCAAACATAATAAAAATCCCATTAAACGCAACTTTGGTCTTAGTTCATGTGTCGTTATCACTACATTATAGTTCATATAGTGATGTCCTCGAGACGAGACGGGAGACCAATTTTCTCTCGAAAAGTCACTTTGAGACGAGACGAGAAGAGAAAATGCTTTTTCTTGTCGAAAATTGCTCGGGTTCTCTTGACCTCAAAGACGAAATTAATTTACCTAAAGTTATTAGATTATCTGGTAATGAGTAACTTGATGATGCATCTGGGGTACATTATGAAGATTTGCAGTATCTAAAGCATTCCAGATGACGTCATAGAGTTATCAGGCAACATACTGTCAAACAACCTTCTAATTTACCATGGGTCAAAATTCACGAGAGACGAAGAAAACGAGATGAGACGAGAGAAGAGCTCTCTTGTCTCGTCTCGAGGGTCTCTCGTCGAGACAGGAGATTCATTTTCTCTCGAACCTTCGAGACAAGACGAGAGAGAGCGGATTTTCCTTTCGTTTCACGGCATCACTGATTTCATAGAAAAAACTTCAAAATAATAAATTATAAAAAAAGCGAGCTCTATAAGTAGTGCATATGCAAGAAGAGAAAGACACGATATCTACGTCATCACTGGTACTTTGGCGTGGTGGGGGGCTGGCTTAAGATTTGATCTACACAGGCGTTATGAGAATAGACTATCCTTTGTAGTGTGTAATATCTTTGGCTACAGCCTACTATGATATTCTGAAACGCGAAGTTAGCGCTAACATGGCCGCCTACGACTCACTTTGTCAATATTCTCCTTGAAAATTGGCTTTTTCGAATATTGCGATGGTAGATTCAATACCCCACATCACAAGGAACATTCATAGACACATTTTCACCCCAAAATCGAAAATTATTCGATAAACACTATTATTTTAAAATGGCCGCCTTAGACCTCCCTTGATGTTTTTGACAGGGAATATAAATATGGCTACCTATAACAATTTTTACTTATTTTTGTTGATGTTTTTCTACTGTTTATGGTAAATTCAAAGGAAAGTTCCAAAACCCCTCTAAAATTAGCTGAAAATGGAAAAAATATTCTTTGGAACCGAGACAACATTGTCAACTGCCATTTGTCACAAGTGACAGGGATAACTTTAGAATGGCTTCCCAAGGCCTCCTTTGATCAGTTTTAAAAACGTCAAATTAATTGCTCACCTCAATAACGTAATTTTGACATCTGAATTTATATTTTACATGACAGATGGTAATAATGAAAATACTGTCAATAAAAAACTGTTGCTAAGTTACGTGTCGCTCGTAAAATAATGACGTGTCGCCCTTAAAATAAAACTTTATTTACTTGTAATTCGGTCCCAGAACTTAGACTACTACTTCTGCCCCCTGTGAAAAACACAATTTTAAAATGGCCGCCCAAAGCCTACTTTGATGTTTTTGAAAAGTGATGTTAACTAATAATATGGCCGCTTATGACAATTTTCACTTACCTTGATGATGATCTCTTGCTGAAAAATATAAAATGCCAATGAATTTTCTTTATTATTTCTCAGAGAACTGAAAAAACTACAAATTATGAAAAAACCCGACTTGACGTGACAAGTTGTGAATCCTTAATTTCAGGTTAACCTGTCAAAATCAAAACTACTTGCTTCTTTTTTTTTTTGACAATTGACAAGGCTTTAGTTACATTTAATCAAGGATATTAAACACTACTATAGGATTGCTCAACGGCCCCAATTTTAGGAATCGAGATCAAATGCTGTTGCACCATTGCCGACGTCATCAACGGTGTCGTTAGCTAGCTTGCGCCAACGGTCGTAGTTTAGAGTAGAGATTTACGATGAAAAATATTATTCAATTTTCCTCAAGGCGAGAAACGACACGCTGTCTACGTCATGAGTATTGCTTAGGCATGTTGGGGTGCTTGAGATTTGAACTACACAGGCCTTACGAGGATAGGCGATCCTGCAGTAAATGTGTGTATTATCCTTCGCTAGAGCCTACTAATATGTTTATGGAACGTGAAGTTTGCTTACCTTTGTTTTCGGAAAGGGAAATCACATTTTCTTCGATGATTTTTCGTAATGTTTATGGTAAATTGAAGGCCCCATACTACAAGGAAAGTTCCAAAACACTTTTTCCGTAGTAAAATCAGTTGAAAATCGAAAAAAACTAGAGACACGACGCGCATAGCACTCCGAGACTATTCGTCAACTAACGAACTGACATTTGTGACAAGTGACAGAAACTATTTCAAAATGGCCTCCTTTGATGTTTCAAACAAAACGTGAAGTTGGCTCGTACATGGCCGCCTATGAAATTTTTCACTTACCTTGATGATGTTTTAGTAGATTTCTATAGAAAAGATAGAATACCTCTTGTAATTTCAATGAATTTTCTTCATTATATCTCCTATAGGTAAAAAACACACTCACGTAACAACATTAGAATCCGAATTTTTAGGTTAACCTCTCATCTCATGTCAACAAAACCAAAACTACTTGCTTCTTTTTTTCTATGACAACTGACAAGCCTTCAGCTACATTCACATAAAGGCGGGAAATTTGAATAATTTCTGATTTTCAAAAAATTCTCTGGATTAAAACTTTACCAAAAATCTTTGTTTTTTCCAGATATCCAGAATCTCGTCTAGCCAAACTGTTCAACGGCAACATACCAATAGTCCTAGACTCATTAAAGCAACACTATTTTATCGACAGAGATGGCGGCATGTTCCGGCATATTTTAAACTTCATGCGAAACTCCAAACTACTTATTCCAGACAATTTCCAAGATTTGGACTTGTTGCTGGAAGAGGCGCGGTACTTCGACATACCCCCTATGGTGAAACAATTAGAACAAATAAAAAAAGATAGAGTAAAGAATAGTAGTTCGGGGAGTAAAAGTAATGTTAGAGGAGATTTGTACGAGTGTGTGGCTTTACATGTTAGTCCAGATTTGGGGGAAAGGATTATGTTAAGTGGGGATAGGAGTCTTTTGGATGAGGTATTTCCCGAAACGAATCAGGCTGTTATGGATGCTAGGACTGGAGCTGCTTGGAATCAGCAAGATGCCCATCATGTTATCCGGTTTCCATTAAACGGTAAGAATTATCCATAAGTAGGGTGTTATTAACTGAATTTTGTGTCACAAAACACAAAGCTAAATTGTTAATGTATTAAAAACTAATATTGTCACAACTGCCCGATTTACGGGGGTGACATGGGGGGTTTGTAGCTTTGGGGGTTGATGGAGAGAAACTCGCTTAAGTTGTATAAAAATATAGATATATATTTTCCCAAATATGTCCTTACATGTATGCTAGTCCTATAAGATGCATGACCTTTCGAGCACTGGGGTCCTTATAGGGATCCACACGTCAACGCTGCTTGGGGAACTGTCGATTAGTTATCGTCACCCTTATGCCTTGTAGATTACAGAGCCTTAAATAACAAAACATTAAAAGATTCTTATCCTCTATCACGGGTGGACGATCATCTGGAAATGTTGAATGGTTGCAAGTTTTTCACCAGTCTTGACATGGCAAATGGCTGAAGCTTCCAGAAGAAAGACATCTTTTGTGACCTCAGATGGTCAAAACGAATACTTGAGGCTGCCATTTGGCCTCGTAAATGTTCCATCTGTATTTCAACGCACTATTAATCCAATTTTGGAATCAATGAGATTTTCTACCGCGTTGGCTTTTATGAATGATATTTTAGTCCCCTCCACTAGTATCACGTCTTATGGTTCAGCTATATCATGGGCAACCAAGAGACAAGTCACCGTTGCCTTTTCGACAACAGAAAGTGACTATATGGCTATGAGCATGGCGGCACAAGAGGCTTTATGGCTAAGAAGATTGAATGAAGAATTTGTATATTGCACAACTGCTACAGTTTTAAATATTGACAATCAAGGAGCCATACATTTAGCACAAAATGGGGCATATCATGCAAGAACGAAACACATAGATGTAAGACTTGAACTATTATTTAAAATACTGTGTATGAACCTTAACTTCCTATGACCAGGCCCGTGATTAAAATAACTCTAGCCCTTCGGGCTTACGTATAACTCCGGCCCTTCGGGCTCGCTTATAACTCCGGGCCGGATTCACAGATTTTTGTCGTTGAGGCGCGGGATTGATTGAAATATTATTGTCAGATTTTTCTAAATTACATTGTAATATCGAAATTTGGAAAGTCTAATGGTCTAATGCCCGTATTACATTTGTGTATTTTTCCGTGTATTTATTCATGTAGTTCAGGGGGACAACCAAAAAACTTCAAACACAACATAATTCAGCATTATGAAAAACAAAATAATGTTGGTACCCTGAATTACATGAATAAATACACGGAAAAATATAGAGATGTAATACGGGCATTAGACTTTCCAAATTTCGATATTTCAATGTAATTTAGAAAAATCTGACAATAATATTTCAATCAATCCCGCGCCTTCACGACAAAAGTCTGTGAATCCTGCCCGAAGGGCCGGAGTTATACGCGAGCCCGAAGGGCCGGAGTTATACGGGCTTAATTTGTGAATTATTATTTTAATTAAGAATCAGGAATAAAAAACTGAGATTGAATTTCCAATTTTTTGGGGGAGGCTTAGCCTCCCTGTTTCTTTTGACGAGCCGCCACTGCTTTCACTTTTTCTTCGTGCCTGGAGGCAGCTTGCATCAACAATACCTTGGGGGCTCGTCAGCTGGCCGCCTGAAGCGATTTTGATAGCTACGAGCCTCACGCAAAGTATTGCTAGCCTAATACAAGTGCAGGGTAACCAAAGTCAAGCATTTCTGTCGAGAAAAATGACGGGAGAGCTCTTCTTTTTCTCTGGCGCAGAGAACAGATGCAGACAGGTGAGATGAAGTCTCAATTACTATCCGTAGATAACTAACTACAGAATAATCAGGATGATTAATGATTTGGTTTATCGACCTCAGGGCAACACCAGGAGTGAAATTAAAGTTGTACGTCTAGACAGATTGACGAAATGTCATGGTCGTGAAGTTGATCGGGACGATCAACCTTGAGAGGAGGGCAATGTGATGGTGCGGTTTTTTATGGCGCCAATTTTTTGGTATTGACCATGCATTGACCGCCATTTTGTTTGGGTTGCCCTATTGTCATTCTGTCTATCATCTTTCACGTTTATTAAAAGTTCTCTAAATTCTCTTCTTGCATTAACTGATCTTTCACGCAACTCCACAAAGATTCCCTCCCGACAGGCCCGTGATTAAAATAACTCTAGGGGCTCGCGTATAACTCCGGCCCTTCGGGCTCGCGTATAACGCCGGCCCTTCGGGCTCGCTTATAACTCCGGCCCTTCGGGCCGGATTCACGGACTTTTGTCGTGACGGCGCGGGATTGATTGAAATGATATTGTCAGATTTTTCTAAATTAAGTACATTGAAATATCGAAATTTGGAAAGTCTAATTTGTGAATTATTATTTTAATTCTTCTCTGACGAGCCGCCACTGCTCTCACTTCTTTCTTCGTGTCCGGAGGCAGCTTGCACCAACAATACCTTGGGGGCTCGTCAGCTGGCCGCCTAAAGCGATTTTGATAGCTACGAGCCTCACGCAAAGTATTGCTAGCCTAATAAGTAAGCAAGTCACCACACTTCTGTCGAGAAAAATCACGGAAGAGTTCTTCCTTTTCTCTGGTGCAAAGAACAGGGGCAGACAGGTGAGATGAAGTCTCGATTACTGTCCGTAGATAACTAACTACAGAATAAACAAGAAGATAAATAATTTGGTTTATCGAGCTCAGAAGAGAAATTAAAGTTGTACGTCTAGACAGATTGACGAAATGTCATGGGCGTCAAGTTAATCGGGACGATCAACCTCAAGAGGAAGGCAGTGTGATGGTGCGGTTTCGCCAGAGTATACAGAATTCATGCCTAAAATTCCAGAAATTTTATTCTAAATTTTACAAGAATGGATTACGGATATATAAAAACTTGATTCAATATGGCCGTTTATATCATATATTGTGGTGACGTTCATAGGAAAAGCAGGGTAATTTACAAGAGTTTTATGTTGAACAAAGACAGGCAAAATCACCCAAAGTATGACGAAGGGCTGTCCGCAACACTCTGACTAATGGTTATGCAGGGTTGGTTCAGATTCATTGATTATGCAAACAACTTGGGCTGGGATCACAACAAGTGGAATTCTACTAGACTCCTACTTTTATGACGTCAGGTTGATGACGTCATGAAAGTAGAATGATCCCAGCCCTCTGGAAAACCAGGTAGACATCCAAGCCTACTCTTGCCCCACAATAAAAACACTAGGGGTCCCAGAATTAAGATAGACGGGAAGAACATCGTCCTACAGGAACATGGCAAGTATCTAGGAATTACCATCGACCCTTAAAGAAACTCTAGACAGTACATATGAGAACCATCAGGGTCAAGATCCCGGAAATGCCTATGTCCATGTCCAAAATGGGGCCACAGCAGATATTTGACAGAGTCGTGAACCGGCCACAATTATACGCAAGCGAGATCTGGGGAGCATAAAGGCCTGTTTACACTTCGATAAGTAGCAAGTGCAGCCGTAGTATTTGATTGTCGAATGGTAAACGGATCTGTCAAGTGATTAGTATTAAGTTGCAGGTCAAGTAACTTATTGAGTGCCTTGTTGTTATGTTCTACTTGACTTGACTCACTATCAAGAGAAGCAAACGCGTTTTCACGTGCGTAGTTCATTAGGGGAGCAAGTCGATTCAACATAGCGGAAAATCGCATTGTATACTTGCCCTTAATTTTGGTTTTAGAATCAGTTTTTAATACATTAACAATGATTCTTTTAGCCGACTACTTTAGCATTCCACAGAATGCATTATCGACTTATTAGGTTTGTTCCAACAAGTTCCATGAACGGTTTTGAAACCACTCTGGGGTTCTGCGCACACATTTTTGGTTTTGCGCAGAATCCTGACGGCACATTGGTGCGTTGTAACAAAGCTAATATCAATAATAAACCAATAATTGATTATTTTTTATGTGTAGGTTACTGCAAATTAAATTCCATGCAAGTGATACGAAGGCTACTGAATGCCGACTTTAAAATAGCGGCCAGCAATGGAGGCGGAGTCGAAGGACAGCAATTCTCCGAATATTTATTTGTCAGAAAAGTGTTGCCAGGCTGAACACAATATAATCATGACGTCATCAATTATTTTTTTAAGCTATTATTACTTTCGAATTAATATTTTTTGATCTCAAGCGAAATTATTGTAGCTCTGTTCCAACCGACATAAGAACCAAGTAATTTCCAATTGGCCACCAGCCCCCCTATCATCTACTACTTGACAAATAAATTGATCGACTATGGAAATTACCGTTTCTAGAACGGTTGGAACAGAGCTGTGTATAGAAAACAAAAGGAATTTTTCTGTAATATATACTTATTACTAATTAAATAATGCTGTTAATTACTAATTAATAAAAATATTTGAAGTAAATGTGTCTTCTTTTCTCTGGTCCGGCGTCGAGTACTAAATAAATTTGTGCTCTTTTTCCTTTTTTCTGGTTCTCTTTCGTCTAAAAGCCTTAGAGCTAGAGTTGCGAAACTGGCTCGGAAATACCACAATGCACCCTCCTTGAGAATATAATTAGCTTGAGGCGACACCTGGAGCTTTTTTGAAAAGGAGAGTTTTAAGACGTCGAGAAATAGAGAGCTCAAAAACTTTCAGTGTAGTTATAGAATTATTACATAATAACCGCTCTTTCAAAATAAGGATTTTCAATATCGATTGTCTCAACCTCGCTCTATATGCACCCAGTGTGGTAATTATTATTGTATCGAATGCCCACGAAAATTCAGAGTATATTAAACGTTTTCACAAGAAGCAAACCTTTTTTGTCCCCCCTAAAAAGCCTTTTCATTATAACGAGCCCCCGGGGTTTTTGCCTGGAGCTTCGATTGTCCCGCATCGCGTTCGGAGCGCTCCGGGCAGTTTTGAACGAAACTCGCCTTTGTAGCTCCGGGCTGTCTGAGAAAACCCCTTAGGGGGCGCAGTGACGTGCGACGATATACAGAGAACAGAAACTTACGTGATGCTAATTTTTAACAACGAGACATAACTACACTAGGTTTCAAGTTTGCGTTATATTCTAGTAGGCGCTGGACTGTCAACGCTCATTCAAGATGGATGCCATTTTTGAATTTGCAATAGTCGGCCATATTAAGTGAAGAGGCCACGGAAAGTAATAATGTTTTCATATAGATTTTAGATAATTTTTAGGCTCGAGACGCGACTTTGCCAGTTTGAAATTCGCGTATTATCCAAGTAGGCGCTGGACTGTCAAGTCAACGGTCATTCAAGATGGATGCCATTTTTTGAATTTTTGGTAGTCGGCCATTTTAAATGAAGAATCCACGGTAAAGTAGAGCTCTGTAGTGTTTTTATATAGAAATATACAGAAATAGCAAACAACATAACTTGGCAACCAACAGTAGTATCCTACACTTAAAAATAATTTTTGCACCAACACGCTTCTAAGCAACTTCTCTCCGACTCTTTTCATCTTTAATATTTAAATAGAGACAGAAATATATGTCAGCCAATTACATATGGCCTATTAAGACATAATCAAAATAAATAAAAACATCTAAAGTACATAAATACTTCTTTCTACAGCCGTGCGGAAAAATTAAGTTTTCGCATGGATAACCGTGCGGAAAATGAGTTCTTTCGCACTAGTGCGAATAAAGTTCCCTTAAAAGGCGATTTCTATAATAGTGTGTTCGATTACTCCTCCTGGAGCAAAAAAATGACAACCCCATGTGACCAGTTTTATAACTTCAAATGATCGATCACATGAGCTATTGTCAACAATGTCATGTTTTACCTCGCAAAAGATTAAACGATCAAATCTTGAGTTAAGACCGTCACACACTGTTTTGCATAAGGCATAAGCATAAGTTCCAACCAATCACAGGTTTCATTTAAAGTTCACCTGATTTTCAGTTAATAGGTGATCTTTAGTACAATTTGTAATTGGCTCATGCGTTATTCAAAACCGTGTGTGATGGCCTTTATTGTGGCATTTGCTTTATCTTTCACTTCGTGGACAAAGACAGAACTATAAATCACGGAGTTTGTCAGGGCGTTATTTTAAACCCAGGGTTGGGATCACGACAAGTAGAATTCTACTAGCATTTTACTTTTATGACGTCAAGTTATCTAGCAATCTATCATCATCGCATGTACTACACGCGAAAAATAGGTCGCGGGTGACGTCACGAAAGTAGAATTCTACTAGTCGTGATTCCACCCCAAGATTCCTTCTGTAAAAGATTTAACACGAAACGAAGTGCGCACCCCCGGGCAAGAATAATAGACATTACTACAGGATAGGCATATATTACAGTTATAAGGCCTGAGAAGTTTAAATCTCCCCAAAGTCCCCCACCAAGCGAAAGTACCAGAGATGACGTAGGCTGCGTGTCGTTTCTCGCTTTAAAGAATACCACAAAATACACAAAAAAAAACAGTTTTTTTTTTCATAAAAAAATTTCACGATGGTTTGAATTTAATTTCATTGCATGTCACTTGGCATCGGCCGCCATTTGGATTGGATTGCTCTATATGTCAATCATAATTAAATAATATTTTTCATCAAAAATGTATATTCCTAACTGCGCGAACAGCAGATGATTTAGTTGATGACGTCGGCAATGGTGTTACACCATATGACCGCGATTCCCAAAAACGAGGCCGACAAACAATTCTGTAGTAGATGTATTATCCTTACCCTGGAACTAGGAGCCAAGTATAACAACACTGCTACTACAGGATAGCTTATCCTCATTAAATTATAAGGCCTGTGTAGATCAAATTTCAAAAAGCCCCCCCACCACGCCAAAGAGCCAGTGATGACGTAGGCGGCATGTCGTTTCTTGTTTTGACGTAGAGTGTTTGCAGTGTTTGCACCACAGGTTATGGTTTTGCGGGCTTTTGCTATATGCATACTTACTTGGTTTTAGCCAATGACAGAACGCTTTTTTAGATCTCGTTTGCGTCTACCTCTCTGTCTATTATATTAATGAAAATTAAATAATATTTTTCATCATAAATGCATATTCTAAACTACGACCGCTAGCGCAAACAGCTGACAACTTTGTTAATAATGTCGGCAATGGTGCTACACAATATGGCTGCCATGTGTAGAAAGAAGTGTGTATTATCCTTGATTTTGACGATCTCTCAATGCAATATGGCGCCATGGGAATAACGAACCTTGGAAATAACTACCTCCATGGAATAACTCGTCATTAGGAATAACACTAGAAAAGCGATACGGATAATCGGGACGAGAAGTTACTACTAGAGGTTGAGAATCCCGCCCCTGCACTGGGACTCTGTAACGAATAGAATACTTTCTCTATCTCTATTGACGTTTCCTCTCTGTTGATTTAAAAGAGAGAGAAGAAGACAGCAAGGGCCGTTATGGCGATAGGGATAACGATTTCTATCCTTTACAGAGTTTCAGCCCTGGCAACCGTAAATGCACGTTTACATTCAATTCCCATTCAGATTGCAAACAATTGGGATTGAATGTAAACTAAATAAGCACCTTCACGGTGCTTAACTTTGTTATGCCCACGGCGCCATCTTGAATTATTAGCTGTTTCGAATTAATACCACTACCACAAGATAGCTTATCCCCATAAAGCCTGTGTTGTTCAAATTTCAAGCCCCCAACCCCTCACCTCACCATGCCAAAGCAGCAGTGATGACGTAGGCAACATGTCGTTCCTCGCCTTGACGTAGTTTGTGTGCATCACAATTAAATAAAATTTTTCATCATGAATTCAAATTCTAAACTACGACAGATGACGACTTAGTTAATGACGTCGGCATTGGTCCTACACCAATATGGCCGCGACTATCAAAAACAAGGCCGATAAGCAATCATTAGTAGTCTGTTACAGTCTGTATGATCCTTGGTATCGAATTGCCTAATTCACAAAGAACCACTTGTGTCATGAAACAAAACCTTGATTTTTTTGATCCACTTATAAATAATCAAAATTCTAATTATTCGGTACGTAAATAATAGGGCGATTTGACGTTCTCTCAATTGACCTTTTGTTTGGACGCCATATTGCGGTGCGCGAACATAGTTGCCAACAGTAAAAAAAAAATTATCAGCGTTCTGTCAACTTTAAAATCCAAAGTTAGTGAATAAATTACATTTAAAATTTAAATTTGCCGCCTATTACGAATGTTTTTGGAAAGAAAAGCCATCAATTTTAGGTTGTATTGGGCAGAATAGAAATAATAAAATATCTAATAGTCGACAGCTCTTTAGTAATTTTTGGTTGTCTTGTTTTGGCAACTATGTGCGCGCACCGCAATATGGCGTCGAAACAAAAGGTCAATTCAATATGGCGCCGTGGAAATAGCACACCTGAAAACCGTAAAGGCGCGTTTACATTCAAGTTGCAATCAATTGGAATTGAATAAACCTACCCTCACGGTCAAGTTTGTTATGACCACGTTGTCATCTTGAATTATTAGCCGATTCAAATTGCCTAATACAAATACATGTTCATTTATTAAACTTTGATTTACAAGGGTTTATACTTTTGACACAATTTCTCTTCCTTTTTTAACAAATCAATGACGTCAAAAACGTTCGTCGGCTCTTGAACCAAAAGTCATTCATTTTAATTTGTGAAAAAAATTGAATGTGTCATATGAATTAATCTACGACAACCCTTTTTTTTCAAGTTTAGACGTCTTCGATGTCAAAAGTATGTGAAACGAACTGTACATGATATTGTTGCACCTACGTCTATCCAATAAGAATCATAAACTCTACAGGATTGCTCAATCGGCTAAATCTGTCCACTAGTGCTGTGACGTCACCTGCACTCCTGACATTCAAGATGGCCGCCGATACACTCAAGCATACAAACTTTTGAAGTATCTGCTAAATTTAACAAACACTGTTTTCAAAGATTCAAAGGAAATAACAATTTTTCACGATAGAAAATGTAAGAAAATTGCACAATCATAATAAAAAACAATACGATCAAGGACTGCGATGATGTCACGTGACGTCATTCGAATTCCTCCATGTTCGATATTTTTTGTGAACGTAAGTCATGGGATTGAGCAATCTTGTTGAGTTTACGATTCTTGGTACTTACCTGCTTTATCTCTTTTTTTCTACTTCGAGGACAAAGATAGAACTATCACGTAGTTCGTCAGGGCGTTATCTTGAACGCGCGTAAACGATTTTCCACGTCAATGGATTTACCCGATAAACCCTTTTCACGTGGCTTCGGTTTAACAAACAGCGCTCAAATTCGAGTGGTAGGTATCCAGCACGTCACTTTGTAACCGGGTTATTAAACGGTATGTCATTTCTCTAACCGTTTTGTAACCCGGTTAGTTAAACCGGAGCCACGTGAAAAGAACTGATGAGTGCGCCGTAATGTCAAGTCATGCCAAGTAAATGTCAAATTGTAAGGTAGGGATGTTTAGGTGTCGAAATAATTTTCGATGCCATCTAAGTATCGATACAAGGAAAAAATATCGATACGAAACGATGACATTTCTTTTTAGGTTAGGATTCCACAAATCAAAGAATTTGTATTTTTGAACCTAAGTAGTTCATAACAAAAATGTTCTCTTTACGCAAACTTACCACCCATTTAGCCAGGTAATTTTTTTTTTTTTTTTTTTCGAAAAACAACCAAAAATCCTTAATTCTCCAGATCCGCAAGGGGCAACACACTTTGCCCGACCTACCTTACGATTATGCCGCCTTGGAGCCCATTATCTCGCGCGATATTATGAACTTGCACCACTGCAAACATCATCAGACTTACATAACAAATTTGAATGCGGCCGAGGAAAAGTTAAAGGCCGCAGTGGAAAAGGGAGATGTAAAGTAAGTAATTTTTGCTTTACATTAACACTGTCCTTATACAAATTTGAACTCAGTACTCAGGTCTCGTTGGCACCAGCCATAAGATTCAACGGAGGCGGTCACATAAACCACTCGATTTTCTGGCAAAATTTAAGCCCTTGCCAAACGGAACCATCCCCGGAACTTTGCTACGCCATCAACAACTCCTTTGGCAGTTTGGACAATTTGAAATCTAAAATGTCCGCTGCTACTGTAGCTATACAAGGTTCAGGCTGGGGGCTGGTTAGGCTATGAACCACAAATAGGCATACTAAGAGTGGCCACTTGTGGTAACCAGGATCCTTTGCAAGGTACCACTGGTTTGGTGCCTTTATTGGGTATTGATGTGTGGGAACATGCTTATTACTTGCAGTACAAAAATGTCCGGGCTGATTATGTCAAGGCTATATGGGATATTGTCAATTGGAAGGATGTCAGTGAGAGATATAAGAAGGCTATTGCTTGTAAATGAATCTTGTTTTGTTGAATAGAAGTTTAAGTTTATTGTTTTTTATATTAATTTGGTAATTACTCAATATATAATCTACTTAGCAAACATCTTATATTGTTTATTTGCCAATTAGAATGTTGTAGCAGCAAGGAAATTTGTCACTCTCTGCGGCTCTTGAGGTCTGATGACATTACAATGCTTTTATTTGTTTGAATTTGTTGTTTTACTCAACAAGTGTCACTGGTCAGTGAGATCTTTGGCATTTTCCATTTGTTTGTAGCAACACAAAATGATGGAAAATTTCAATTTTCGATGCCTACATACCCTATATTAGTTGTAGTCTGATTTCAAGAGTCAAGTTTCTTCAAAGTAAGAGAAACACTTTGAACTACTTCTTTCAGTTGCTTCTCCCATGTCCGCAATTACGTCAAGGCCATATGAGATATTGTCAATTGGAAGAATGTCTGTCAGATATATAAAAAGGCTATTGCTTGTAAATAAAGTTTTTTTTTTTATTTGCTTATCACCTAATATACAGGGTGTCCCACAAGGTTTTGTGAAGTTGACGTCACTTGAATGACATTGGTAGAAGCGGCACAAAAAGTTACCCAAGTCCTCAAAATTTCAATTATATGCGTTTTCAAATTATTACCTGGGAAAAACGTCGTGGGCCACCCTATATGATCAACTTAAAACCTATATTGTTCTCTTGCTAATATTAGAATATCCAATTCCTACGCAAGTCAACAAAATTTTCCCCATTCCTGCTCCTTGGCTCTCTTGCTCAAAGTGTTCTATTTTAAAAGTAACCCCGAAAAATTCCCTTAAATGCCTCAAAAGCCCTATGGTGTAATCGGTTAACGGTCCGGTAACGGCTTTTGAAACGTCTTTTGGGCCTAAGGCCATGTTTAGAATCAATAAGGCTTGGCAGGAGGAGTCTACAACACCTCCTAGAAAAATATGGTATAGAAGCCTCTGAGCTGCTGCTACTCCTATGTCTTCTGGTATTGATGGGTCTTCACCTTGTGACACGTTATTTGATACCTAAAATTGTTTAAGAAAAAAATACAAAAACATGGGGCACTATAATATGTGAGAATATTTGAAGTGAAACTTCTTACACTTAAGATTATAGTATAAGAGTTACAAGCTGAAGACATTTAACCATGCAAAGAGGTAAATAAATGATTTGAAAAATTCATTAGATAAAAAAAAGACGCTCATTGTGCAAGACGAGGTAAAACGTGCCAAATCATGTTAGACTTAGGGCCGATATTTCAATGCACAGAATAATGTTAAATCATCCCTAATACAATCGGTGCATCTTAAGCCACTTGAATGAACTGATTTCAAGGTCACCTTAACGTTAAGGCTACCTTAATTAAATCTTGATTTTAAGGTAACATTGAAATACCGGTCCTTAGTGAAAGTTTTGACTACTACTGACAGAAAAGCGTTTCAGTCTGAGGTGAAGGACAAGGAAAAAAACTATATGGCAATACACAGTTGCAATGTGATAGAAATATTAGTTCGCATTTTTGCCACTTTTCAACTCTCCTGCGTCGGATCTTATAGCAATCTGTCCTTATTTGTATGGGTTAAAAAGGGAAGGAAGAATACCGCGTCATGTATTTATCAATCAAAAATTCGAACAACTTTTAAATTTTTCAGAGGCTTTCTTTCAACCCAGTAGGGAACCGCACATTTTACCGTCAGGATTCTGCGCAAAGCATAACATTTGTGTGTAAAATCTAGAATCCGAAATTCGTATACACAGTGGTTCCTACACCGTTTTTGGAAAGGTTTTTTGGCAGGTAAGAACGTCATTAGTTAGAACAGACCCAATGTCTGGTAATGGGTAACTTGATGACGCATTTAAGATGCCTTAAACGTAGTACTCATAACAGCGAAATTCGCTCTTTCTTGACATTGTTTCGACAATTTGACGTTTTATGCGTGAATCTGGGCTAGGCAACCTACCTCTTTCAAACAACCTTGGAACAGATCAAGGAAACAAACCTATACTTAGGACATATAATAATGCGGTCTTGAAAATCGATCACTTGTCAATAGGATTTCCAATTTTCGGGATCGGGATGCCGTTTCGAGATCTACTCCCAACTCACAAGATACAAGATTAACAAGTATCGGTAGACTGAAGACATAATGACAAATACAGAGTACAAGTGAAATTGACTGATCCGTCCTACGTTGCGACTTTCGCACTTCTGTTACCCGCCAACTATCCAGCTAGCCGTAACTACCCCCCAGAGTCCAACACCTGCGAAAGGCACCAAGTTTTTGGACTTGGTTGGACAAGCCTTTCCCCTGGGTACCTACTCGTGTTAGCCTGGTTCCCCCAGCACCGTTTGACGAGTCACCGTTCGCTCCCATTTCCATGGGTAGTTACCACATCTAAGTTAATACTTTCGACCACGGTCAGCGGACCCTGGAATCAGCACAGCGGCGAGCATTTTTATCGGCACCGGAATGTGGTCGACTCAGCGCCGTAGTTTCTTGTGTTAAAAGGGCTCACTAGGTGAGTTCATTTTCCCTTGACAAGGTCCGGGATCGGGGTTTCCCCCTACTAGCTTTCGGAACACCCCAGTCAACCATTGCCCAGATACCTGGGATAGGGAAGATATTTAGAGGTCCTTCACCCATGCCAACTAGTGAGACTATGGGTATTACTCAGGTTATACCTTTAACCCCCCGGCCGTGCCCAGGTCCTCGTTTAACCGGACGAGTCGCGGTTCGAAGTACCGCCTATCCCCGGAAAGCTGGGCTCAGCGAACTTTCAGCCAGATTCACTAGAATCGTTCGCTGAGTTCCCTGCTTTTTGCGAAGGACAGACAATACCGCTATCATCGTTCTGGAAGGAGGCTCAGGAACTTTACCTAGAATTCTGGGATCGTTCCAGAGTTCCTCCCTCCTTCCCTTAAGGTGAGATGGTAGATACAATAGTTCAATGGAGATTAACAAAATTGCACCAGCGAACCAGCCATCGAAATGTGGGTAGGGACAGAGTAAAAAATATAATAACATGTGTATCAATGCTAAACCCAGAATAAATGGATACATATCATAGGATACAATTTACTTGCCACGCTACGATATAAAATTTCGATTTTTTGGTTTTTTGTATACCTTAGATTTGTCATTGTGTGATCAGCTGTCAGCCTAGAGAAGTATAATACTGAGCACCACGCCATACAGGAATTGAGGAATCCCCATCCGGCAGTAGGTGATTCCCACTTCCCACGTCTATTGTAACCTATTACATACATAAATTACCGGGGTAAAGCTAAATACCACGCCGATTAAAAAAAAGAAATAAAGCAGATTGAAATTTTAGCATTTAAAAAAATCGGGAATTTTCGGGATCTCGAGATTTTCGGGATGAAAAATCTGCCGGGATTTCGGGATTGGAAACCCTACTTGTCAAGCTACATCAAGCTGAGTTGAACAATGAACATCAACCGTACTTTTATTCTTGTCAGACCACAGGCAATAAATAAGGATAAAGAGATACCTAGCGTAAAATTTGAAGGCAGCATTAAATATATTCACAGTCCGAAGTCCAAACTAAAGGTAAGATGTATCCAAGGATAATAATACTACTACAACAGGATAGCTTATCCTCATAAGGCCTGTGTAGATCAAATGTCAAGGTCCCCATCACGCCAAAGAACCAGTGATGACGCGGAACTTTGCTTCATGCATTCTTGGTGTTAGTACTTTAAAGCCAGACCCTGCGATCTCCAATTGCCAGTAATAAATCACATGATGACTTTTCTAAATGTTGCTGACATCAACATAATAAGCTGGGTATGGTAAAAAAAGCAAATTTTGACGGACGTCACGTGATTACTTATTTTTTTATACTGTGACATCTGTCAAAATTTTGCTCGCTTAAAAAGCCCTACAGTAATGTGAACAGGGCGTCATCTATTATAAAAATGCTTCAAAGCCCTACCTATATAAAGTAGGTGTCTGTAGCGTCGATGCAAAACTAGTGAATGGTGATTATTTCAACACAGTAGATGGCGGTGGCTTGGCAAAATTTTGTTGCGTCATTTGTCAACCAATTGGTCTTGACTGACGTTAAATGCATCGCTTATCTGTCAAGATGACCGATCGGTCAATCGCTTAAAATTGGTTTAATTAACATTCTCCTGGCGCAAACAGACTTAGTTGATGAAGTTGTCAATGGTGCTATGTGGCCGTGATTCCCAAAAACGAGGCTGATAAACAATCCTCTGTGTAGTAGTGTATTATCCTTTATCACCTTTCAGTTGGTAGTTGATAGGGATTTTATGTTTATTACTTGGATAAATAAAATCCCTATCAACTACCAACTGAAAGGTGATAAATCTTTGTTGTAGTTCGGATTTTGTGAATAGAGCAATGAACTATAAAATACACGCACCTGGAATGGTCGTGCCAATAAATTCAGACAAATTGAGATGGAGAATACCTATCTCTATTTATCTTATTGGTGAATTATGGAAATCTTTCCTTGTCTAAAAAATATTAGGCGATTCGAATTGGCTGATAATTCAAGATGGCGACGTTGGCATAACAAATTTGACGATCGTGAAGCTGCCTTTACATTCAATTCCAATTGATTGCGATTTGAATGCGAATTAAATGTAAACGCCCCTTTACAGTTGTCAGATGTGTTATTTCCACGGCGCCATATTGAATTAGGAGGACGTCAAATCCTCACATACCGGCAATGAACTAGAAAGAGAGAGGTAGCCGTCACTATATAGCCATTTTTGGGAACAATAACGACCTTCAAGAAACATCTTAACATTTAGAAATATGAAATATTGTCCTAGATTACACTAGTTATTGTGGCGCCATCTATACCAACATGAAAAATTACAGTTGACATCCATTGACTAATGGAAGGGTTAGTGGGCACTGAGTGTATTGCTGTCTTTTCCTAATAGCTTGTATAAAAAAAGAGATAAAAATACATTTTTTCTGCATTGGTTCTACCGATAGAATTCGCTATATAACAGTGACATGTGACATTATTACCATTCCTGACAGATTTTTGTCAAGAAATTTCACTCCAAGCACGTATTAAGAAGTTTCACTTCAATAAATAAATAAATACCTGTTCAGACGAATACATAACTCCTTGTGTAGTTTCAGCATACAAATGCACTCCAAACCCTGGACTTCTCCCGGCTTGTTTTCCTTTGCACTGATCAGTACTGATATAAACATCTGGAAGAAAATTCAGTAACACTCCTTTGGCTTTCTCGACCATTCTATTGGCCATAGCAGGCGAAACTCTTAAGGCATAGGCAGTTCCTCTAATTCGTTTTACCATTCCAGAGTCCACAATCTGAACAGGCCTTAATTTGGTTTTAATGGGGCATTTGAATGTAACTTCTCCACCACCCAAAGGCAACATGCCTCTTTTGGAAATCTTCAAATCTAAGCCCTCGTCATCATAGACAAATCTTTTTAAGGTTTCCATAAAAGAACTTTTAAAACAATCGACTGAAGGATCAATATTATTACATGTTACACCTTTGAGGGTTGCTTTTATTGGCTGCTTACAAAAAAACCCCAGCATGAAAAGACTTTCCAAATAGTACCCTAAAGAAGTGAATTCATAAGTTAAAAGGTACCTAAAGATCTATTCACAATCTGTAGTCCAAAGGTAAAGGTAAAATTTATCATGGTGATAAATTTACCTATACCTTTGGACTACAGATTGTGAATAGGATATACTTCTTACCTATTCCTCTTTGACAAGAACACTCATGTTCGAAAGTACCACCCAACAAAAGTCCTGGTTGAAAATATAACTCGGTACCAGAATTGTTGAGTTCCACAGTGGTACCGTTGGTGATTTTGTCTAGTAACCGCACCAAACTCACTTCGTACTCTTTAAGACCCGGTTCATCGTCTAGGGTTCTTATTTCAGTAATTTTTACAGGCTTACCGCTTAGGACTGACAAAACTAGGCGCTGCTTTAGGAAGTTGGAACCTTTGTAGTGCAAAGTGTTGCCTTTTTTTGTTGCCGTAGTCATTTTGAATTGAATTTGCTTAAAAACAGGGAATTTCCCTGAGGGAAATAGTTGTTGATGTTTTTCAAATTTGGGAAGACATGTGCAAAAGTTGGGTTATGGTTATAATTCTGTCTTCTTTATAGAGAAGGGCTTATCAATACACAGTTATATTTTTTTCAAGAGTTTGGAACACTCGAGCTACTCGCTCCGGTGTAAGTCGACCCCGATTTGAAAGTTAGAGCGTAACGCGTAACGCCCCGGGGCTGTTCCGGAGCTCCTCCTAGGTGTGAAAGGAACACAACTAGAGTGCGTTTAGAAATGGAGTGTGAAGGTAGAGTAGTTGTTTGTCAGAGTGTTCTGACGTCATCACTTGGAGTCCACTCTGGGTGCGCCATTTCTGAACGTATTGGCGCGTTGCGGTGAATGTCAATGCCATGAATTACGTCAAGCCCGGTAAAAACCAACGTGGGGCGTTTTTCAACACAGTCCCTGATGAGTGGGGTAATTTGGACGCACTCTAGGCACGTCAATTCTGGATTTCTAAACGATTCCAGCGTAACGCTCTGAGTAAGCACCTGTTAATTAATGAACAGTTTAGAGTTACTCTAGGGTCAGTCTCACACCCAGGGTGCTATTTCTAATCGCAACCCTTGGGGAGGGGGTTTAAAACCATTTTGAAACAGTGTACAACGACCTTCATTTTCTCCGCTTAGAATCTTCGCCCGCAAGGCGTTTGAATAGTGTACAACGGCCTCCATTTTCCATACTTAGGACCGGTTTATCAAGCAAAGGGATAACTTGCTGAGTTTGCTGAACCTGGGTCAACTCTAACTCTGGGCTAACTACCGAAGGTGAGTTCGGAATGGTAAAAACTGTCGACACTTTTTACACTAGGGCTGTTTCTGTAGAAATCACAAACCAGTCAGAGCGAATATTAACACTTTGGCGTTCGTTAATTATTATGAGTTAGCTTGGTGTACACTTTATTTACGTTTGGAAATAATTTGATGCTCGAATGGTGTGAAGATGGTGGGACACCGTTAACTCGGTACAAAATGACGGTGTATTCGGTGTTACACCGCCGATTACACCTTGGTTGAGTTCGGAATGGGATTTTAGTGCATTACTAGTGAGGTGTTCGTATAGTGCAGTGCTATATCACGTGATGAAGAGACGAGTTCAGAATGGTAGAAAGTGTCGACACTTTTTACACTTTTGACACTATGGCGTTCGTTAATTGGTAGGAGTGTTCGGTGTAGATTTTTTTTGCGTTTGGATATAATTTAGTGTCCGAATGGTGGGACACCATTTACTCGGTACAAATAGATGGTGTATCTGGTGTTACACCGCTGATTACACCTTAGTTGAGTTCGGAATGGGATTTCAGTGCAGTGCTACTGAGGTGTTCGTGGAGTGCAGTGATATTTCACGTGATGAAGGTGTAACACCGAGTACACCATCACTTTGTATCGAGTAATCGGTGTCCCACCATCTTCACACCATTCGGATACTAAATTATTTCCAAACGCAAAAAAATTGTACACCAAACACTCCTACCAATTAACGAAAGCCATAGTGTCAATAGTGACAAAAGTGTCGACACTTTCTACCATTCCGAACTCACCTCTTCATCCCGTGATATAACACTGCACTACACGAACACCGAACTAGCACTGCACGGATGACGTCACCACTAGAAACATAAATTCGGTTATAATTATAGAGCCGGAGTCACATCTTTCGTCGAAAAACGGATGCATGTTGTCGTTACGTATAGAAACAGCATATTATTTCCGTATTCACTAGATATAAACCTCGACATCTAGTGAATACGATTCCTAAACGTTAAAATCACCCTTTCTTCATTTGAAATTAATGGAAAAATCAACTCACAAGCACAGCCTGAATCGCCAGCATCTTATCGAGGTTTGCGGGTGACGTCAACACTATAATCTGCTGAAAGTGGTGACGTCACTCGCAGACCTTGTCGACTCGAGAATTGGCGATTTGGCGACTGTACGCCTTATAAAGATGAGCAATCCTGTTATGAGTGTTAGTTTACGATTCTTCATCATGGGCCACCATTGGTAGGTATATCGCATTAATTATTTTTTTTTAAATACCCTGTATCTTAGAAACCAATAGAAATTCGACAACAAAAAAAATATATTTTTAATAACCTTGGAAAATATTCAACCGTTCTCGTATCTCTAACCGTTTGCGATATACCAATGGTGGCCGTTGGTATTTTTGACACCCTGTATTGTATAAGAATACGATACGATTTCATGATTTTTCTATTCCAGGCTCTTCAAATTTTCTTTGTTATGACAAATTCAAGAGCCGGGAATAAATAAAAATTTAGCGAGAAAAATTGAGAAATAAGGAAAAGAAATTCAAGCGAAATTGAGAAAAACTTGGTAAACAAAGGATTTCGTTTCTATCCTAAGCTGTTTTCTCGCGGTGGAACTGGTTCGATCCGGTTCAATTAAATTCGAACCTGTACATTCTTGCGTTAAACCAGTGACGTCACATTGAACCTAGTTCAAAAGAGTTCGAACCGGACTTAAGGGCATGTTCTCCGTCGATATAAGATTGTGGTTCAAACCTTCCATTTTCTCGTGTTCGCAAAGGATGACGTCATCTAAAAATTGGTTTAAACTGTAGTTCGAACCATTCGCCCCGCAAGAAGACGCCTCTAAATCTCTTGAATTGTCTCTATTCTGAGAAAACTGAAAATTCAAGAGTCGAGAATAAATTTGATTTGAAATTGAGACGGAAAATCTGAGAACTAATTAGCGAAAAAATTGTAGAAAAGAGGACATATTTTTTCTATTAGCCTATCCAAAACACGTGACTTTGACAAGCAAACAAAGGGTTTGTGTGCCTCTTGGCGGACATTTTTATTTAAGTTTGAGAACATCTAGGAATTGTCAGCCTATCCAAAACAGGTGACTTTGACAAGCAAACAACGGATTTGTGCAAGGAGAATACACACTCTTAGGAGTGCTTATCGGCCTGGTTTTTGGTAATCGACGCCATATTGGTTTTCAACCATTGCCGACGTCATAACTAAGTCGTTAGCTGTTTAAACAGCCTACGTCAAGGCGAGAAACGCCATACTGTTTACGTCACAACTAGTTGTTTGGCATAGGGGGGTAGGGGGGGGATTTGTTACACACTGGCCTTATGAGGATAGGCCATCCTGTAGTAGTAGTGTGTATCATCCTTGGGGTTTATGTGCCTCTTGGCGGACATTTTAATTTAAGTTTGACAACATCTTGGATAGTCTAATTCCCGATTTTACCTTTTGAATTTTCTTTATTTTGACGAATGCAAGAGCCAGGAATAGACCAAGGTTGTTTGAGAGAAGTAGGTTGCCTGATAACTTTATGACGTCATCTGGGGTGCCTCAACATGATGCAAATCTCCATAAGGCACCCCAGATGCGTCATCAAGTTAACCATTACCCAAGGATGATACACACTACTACCACATCAGTTTCTACTGTTATAGGATAGCCTTATCAGGCTTGTGTAGAACAAATCCCCCTTCACCCATCACTACCAAATCACCAGGAATGCGTTTAGCAATAGAGTGTGAAGGTAGAGTAGTTGTTTGTCAGAGTGTTATGTCGTCATCACTTGGAATGCACTCTGAGTGCGCTATTTCTACGTATTGGGACGTTGCGGTGAATGTCAATGTTATGAATCACGTCAAACCCGGTAAAAACCAATGTAAAACCGCGGGACGTTTTTCAATCCAGTCCCTCAGTGGGGTAATTTGGGCGCACTCTGGGCACATGCCTCATCTCACTTGCGCGAAATTCGCTCTTTTTTTGCCCGAAATTTGCTCTTTTTTTGACATCGCTTCGAAATTTCGACGTTTTATGCGTGTATCAAACGTCAAATTGTTGAAGCAATGTCAAAAAAGAGCGAATTTCGCGCAAGTGAGAATTAAGCTTAACGCTCCGAGTAAGCACCTGTTAATTTATGAACGGTTTACTCTAGGGTCACTCTCACACCCAGAGTGCTATTTCTAAACGCAACCCAGTTGTGATGTGGACAACATGTTATTTCTCGCTTTGACGTAGGTTGTTTAAACAGCTGACGACTTAAGCCGCTTTCCAGCTGACGCTTTTGAGCCCGCAATCCAGCGTTTGCGCTTAAAGCACGTGTTCGTATTTCAGCCGTAAAGGCTTCGAGAGCTGCTAACTTTTGCGTTTGAAACACAGAACACTGTTCTGCACCGTGCTTGAAGCACACAGCTTGAAAGCGGCTTTAGTTATAACGTTGGAAATGGTGACACTCCAATATGGCGGCGATCATCAAAAACGAGGCAATTAGGTGTGTATCATCTTTGAATGTAAACAGCTGACGACCTAGTTATGACGTCGGAAATGGTGACACACCAATAGGTCTGTTTCTGGATTTTTGATTTTATTTTTTTTAAAATTTTGTGTTCACTGTTAGTTGGGTTTTTTTTTTTCCTTCAAAATATGTTGTTGGTAACACTTGCTTACCAACTAACCATTGAGCAACCAACTGATAGGTGGATTTTATTATTTTGGAAATTTTGACAGTTTTCAAGGTACCAATAGTATACTTTGAAAACTAAATGTCACTAAAAATCATTGAAGGAAGTTCATTGTTGAAGAATGAGCTTGATCACAGGCTTGATTCATCAATGACTTGCGTGCGTTTTCGCAAGAAACTCATGACGTCATATTGAACGTTGTTCGCCGAAAGCATTACAGTGACTCTATTACTCACAGTGGCGACAATTGCTGTCTTATTTTTGATTGGTTCTAAAATCCCATATATTTATATCGAAAACGCGGCCATCTTGTTCCCATCTATTGCTTATTTCAAATATGAATATATGGGATTTAGGTGAACATCCATCATAAAACATGGAAAACAAAGTATTTGATGCAATTTGATGGACCTAATAATAATCATCAAATACGTCGATTTCAATTTTTTATGAAAGATGTCCATTTAAAACCTATAAATTCATATTTAAAAGTAACAAGAGGTTGGGAACAAAATGGCGGCGGGACCTCTATTGTCGCCATTGTATGTAAAGGTTTATTTAGCCACTGTAGAAAGCATGGACGCAGCTTCTAGCCAACGTTCAAACTTATGACGTCATAAGACGAACTATGGCTTGTCTTTAGATGAACTACATTCGTCGCAAAAATTCGGTGCTAGTTAAAATCACCTTTTTTGGGTGACTTGCTATTGAAACTGGCCCTTAAAATCGATGTAGAACAAGCACAACCTGAATGTAAGCATCCCATCGAGGCCTGCAGGTGACGTCACCACAATAAGCTGCTATGCTGGTGACGTTATTCGCAGGCCTTGTCGACTCGAGAATTGGCGAAAGTACGTAGTTTACTAATCTTACCTTATCCTGTATAAGAAGACATTCATGATTTTTCTTTTTCTATTCCAGGCTCTTCAATTTTCTTTGTTTCCACAAATTCAAGATCCGGGAATAGACAACAAAATTAAACTAGAGAAGGGCATATCGATACGATATATCGATATGCTCAAAAACTTTGCTATTGAGTTACCGACCTTAGGTTTGTTTTATGTGACATAAAAAAAACTCAGGGACAAGCAAATCTTTGTGAAATCACATGACAATTGTTATGAACAAACCTTAAGTGATTCCGATTAGTTTGTTCCAGATCGAAAAAAATACCTCTATTTAATCAATCAAGAATTATGGAAAATAAGGACCGGTTTAACAGTGCACGATTATCTAGTTTAGCTGTCGGTTAACTAATGATAATAAATTATTAGATAACTAATAGTTAAGCTAAATAACTGTCCACTGATAAACTGGCCCTAAGAGCAGTCCTTCACTGACAATCATAAAAATATCGTATCGAAAAAATATCGATATTTTCTCATATTAATATCGATGTAAAAAAGTAGAGACGAAAAAATATCGCTTTTTTGGACAGCGCCATCTATCCGAATTCATAAGAACAATCAGACTAGTTTCTTGACAGGATGGCGAATTGAAAAAAAATTAGTATGGGTTTTATCCATTGGGAAAAAAAAACCTAAATAAATTTGACTTCCACAGGGTTTTCCATTATTTTCAGTAAACATAGTGTCTCTAGATCAACTTATTAATCCCTTAGCTAGACAGACTAGCCTAAAATAACTAAATATTCATTATTCATCTAGGGAAAAAAATATAAGGCCGAGATAGATGATGATGTCGCAGTTTCCCCTGGAAAAGCCAATTTTCCAACGTGTACGGGAAGCCGGCCAATGAAACTTGCAGAATCGCTGCTCTGCGCCGCGAAAAATCCATTCGAGAGCGAATTTCGTGCCTGCAAAGTAGGGTCGCGGTCCATGACCGTATTTATGCGGTTCGATCCTGGATTTTTCCAGTTTCCAGAGGTTAAATAACGAAAACTATATAATGATTTTGTGCCAATTGAAAACTGGATACCTACTAGTGAGTAGTTCCAATATTTAATTACATTTTATTGTTAATTAATGGGATTTATTTATTGTTTTTTGAGGAATTCACGACTTACTTATTATCTATACTTCCTTCATAATTACCTATCTCAAAAAGACATTATCTGCAATATAAATTATTGAGACTCGTTGATAATTTGTAGATATTTCATTATAATTTGATAAAAGCTTAAAAGTTATAATTAGGACAATAATTGTCGAGGAACAGACAAAAACTTGCGATAATGAATTAACAATAACTAATTAATCGCTAATGATATTTTATTGTACCACTAGGTTCAAGGTCTATTTTCGTTTTTAGGCTGTCTGAGACATTAAACAAGTAGGCTTTGTCTTGTAAGGGCACTTGTCTGAGGGCCAAAGTGTGTAGTGTGTCTACTTCAAAAAGCTATTTTTTTGTCGAGGAGTTTTTGAGTGTAGAAGAATCGTTATTTGTTTATTGGCAGTTAATTAGTAGATGAAACACGTGAGTAGGTAATAACTTTTATAGATTATTCAAACGTCCGCGAAAACCAGAATAAAATGTTATTCATCTTGAATATATTCCTATAAGATGTCCACAGACGGCATTCAAGATGTTTGCTTACACGCCTTAAAAACATCGTAACGTCGTTTGTTACAAGACCCAACGTCTAGCTCGGATCTCCTTGTATCGTAAGGGTATATATAAATGTAGATTTCAATTTAAAACAGCAAACATTTCATATTTAAAAAAGAGTCTAATAATAAATTACTACTTGTTATAAATGATTAAGTAACTAATTACCCAAAACATTAATTAAATGACCTATAACAGACATGTTATTGTTTAACATAAATGTAGCGCCATGTACTCTATTATTTAGGTTAGATGGTAACTTATTATTGCGAGCGACATATTCGATGGTAATTATTTCCTTATAGGCAGCTATTGTTAAATAAGATTGTGGGGGCGGGTCTGTTTGCAAGTGAGAGAAACAACTGTCAGCTTCTTGGATTCGTTGCACATATTTTTATAACCTACTCCTGATAATTCCATTTCAGTTTTGTTCTTAGGATACGTTGTCTCTATCCTAAAAATCCCTCTATCAATTTTCCGTGTTTTACGCTCAAAAAGTCTATGTCTTGTGCCGCTAAAAAGGGACTTTGAGTGCCTTAAGTCGATGGTGATACGTTGTTGGTTGTGGATAACCGTTTTCCAGGGGATCCCCGTATATATGCACAGCTTATAAGAAAACCCAGGGGAGTGGTAATAACTTTTGTGTGTTTCGACAACCCTTTGGTATCATTTTCATTTCTATTTCAATTTGTTTGCGCGATTTTCCACTCGCAGTCCAGTTTACTAAATTGCAAATACTATTGCGTAAACACAAGGTGTTGTAAAAACCATGTTGTGGATAGTTGATTTAAAGTCCTGTTTCTGCAGCGGCGGTTGTAATCATCATAATTATGGCTGCTAGGAAAAACAATACATATTATTTTGCTGATGTTGATGCTACGTTCCGTAGTCGGTCTGATCTCTGTACCTCTGAGTGGTTTTGAGTAAATGGTGTATGTCTTCTGTCGGTAATGGAATTAGTTTGTGGATCGATCCTTTTGTGGTGAACTACCTACTTTCTTTATTGTTACCACTCGGATTGCTCTATCTTATCCCTGGTGAGTTTCTATAATTCTCCTCAAAGGATTCCTACTCGTAGATTGTTGGTCTGATTTTTCCATTTGTATCTTTGTTGTAGTCTGGTGAGGTATTCTGTGTACCATACGCTCCAAAATGTTTTTCTTTAACTTTTGCACATATCTTCATCGTTGAGATAGGTTAAAATGTTCTGTCGATTCCAAATTTGGTGGTGCTAGAAGTTCTCTTCCTATGAGAAAGTGTCAAGATGTTGAAATCATCTGTGTCTTCTGTCTTGAGTTCTGTCGTATCATTATTACCATCTTGGAAGGTCTAGGTAGGAACGAATAAATTAGAAGACACAACTCGATGCTAGGGAAAGACTCTATTCACTTTAACACACCCGCTACCTGAAAAATACTGGTTTTCTGTCCACCTAACTATCCACGAACCAGTTACCAGAAAACCTCATTTTAACTATTAAAAACCCTCCAGGTGAATGTCAATTCTAAAAGACTAAAATATAAAGCAAATGCCTAACAGCACATCTCCCTTTCCTTAAAATAATTTCACATTCACCAGAGGTCAACACTTAATTCTATAGGTAGGTACTACAAACAATGTTGCCAGGGAGCAACAATTTTTTGTATCAAAATTAAAGACAAATTGTACCAGATTCAGTAAAAATTAAAAATGTACCAGCCTATAATAGGGTGGGGGTGATGATACTTTTTTCTCAAATGTCACTTAAGAAATAACATTCCAAAACCTACTGGATTGGAATGGAACCCGAGTAAAGTTGGCTACAAAGCAGTGTTACCACCTGAAAAAAAAATATATATATAAGGTTCCTAAAAACTTATTTTTTACAGATTTTTTTTTTGCGTTCTTGATTTAAGCGTTTTAAACTGAAAATTTTTGGCTGAAAATGAAGGAAATTCAAAGCGTCGTACTTTAAATCGGTTTTTCCGGCCTGGAAAAGCGGAAGATCCAAAGAAAAACCTCTGAAAAGGACATTCCAAAGCCTACTTGATGAAACTTGAGTTTTTGTCACTTGCCCCATTGGAAAACTGGATATTTTTGCCACAAAATGAAGAAAACGCAAAGCCTCGTACTTAAAATCGGTTTTCCCGACTGAAAAAGCCCTAAAAACGCGAAAAGTCCGAAGAAAAACTTCTAAAAAGAACATTCTAAAGCCTACTTTATGAAACTTGAGTTTTTGTCACTTACTCCATTGGAAAACTAGAAATTTTTGGTACAAAATGAAGAAAACTCAAAGCCTCGTACTTAAAACCGGTTTTCCCGAGCCAAAAAGCCTTGGAAAAGCAGAATATCCAAAGAAAATCCTTTAAAAAGGACATTCTAAAGCCTACTTGATGAAATTTGGGTCTTTGTTACTTACCCTATTGGAAAACTGAAAATTTTTGGCACAAAATGAAGGAAACTCAAAGTCTCGTACTTTAAACCATTTTTTCCGTTTTAAAACGGCTTGGAAAAGCTGAAATTTGGAGAAAAAACATGGATAAAAACACTCAAAATGGTCGACTTTCCAAATTGATAAATGACATTTATTACAAGGTTTACATGATTGAAGTTGGCTACAAACGATGTTGCCACATCAAAACTTCTAGAAAAAGCATTTAAATGGGATTTTCCTAATTATTGCATTTAAAAATATAAATTTGTGCTACAAAATGAAGAAAACTCGAAGCCTCGTACTTAAGATCGGTTTTCCCGACCGAAAAAGCCCTGGAAAAGCGGAAAATTCAAAGAAAAACTTCTGAAAAGGACATTCCAAAGCCTACTTGATGAAACTTAAGTTTTAGTCACTTACCCCATTGGAAAACTGGACATTTTCAGTACAAAATGGAAAAAACTTAAACCCTCATATTTAAAGTCGGTTTTCCTAATTGAAGAAGCTTTGGAAAAGCAGAAAATCCAAAGAAAAACCTCTAAAAAGAACATTCCAGCACCTACTTGATGAGACTTGAGTTTTTGTCACTTACCCTATTGGAAAACTGGAAATTTTTTGCACAAAATGAAAAAAACTCAAAGCCTTCGTACTTTAAACCAGTTTTTCCGACTTTAAACGCCCTGGAAAAATGGAAAATCCAAGGAAAAACTGGATAAAAACATAAACACGTCACTGCAAAATGGCCGACTAAAAGCGACGTTGCCGCATGACATTAATGACATTTTAAATAGTTTAATTTAATTAAAACCTGTTGAATAATTAAATAATAACGATTATAAAACAATAAATTTCCCAAATAAGGCCTTGGAAACTTGTTTTTAGTTTAATTTCTATGAAAAAATGTTAATTATATGTGAGTAAGACAAAGACAACAATAAAGTAGTATACGTTTGCAAAAACCCCAAATGGGTGAGATAAAGTTGGATGCCATTTAAAACTCAAAATTATCAAATTACGATGAAAACCAAACAAAGCAAATATTTGATAAAGTAGTAGGTACCCACTTAAATATTTAAAAAATTGATAACGTTAAACTGGTAAGGGCCGAAATCTCTTAGTCCGGAACTAAAGGCCCGCCCACACAGCGCTGGTTTAGATACAGAAATACAAATTAATTAGAACATCGACATTAGACTGTAGGCAGTTGTAGGCTAAGATTCTGAGAATTTGGGAAAAAAAAAAATTGAAAATTGTACCAAATATGCCAACGTCGTACCAGCGTACTTTTTCAAAGCGAATGGTACCAAATTTGGTACAATTGTACAACCTCTGGCAACACTGACTACAAACTATTATTAGGCTCTATCATACCATGAAACAAAATCTTTAAGGTGAGCAGGTTGTTTAACGAATCTTTTTGGTCTGCCTTGTGTCATTCTTTTTGGGCATCATCTAGATTTGGCGCGCTGACATCAGTGTCATTCACCGTTTTGATTGGCACTGATGGGGACGCATTCCCTATGTGCGTTTTCATTATCTCGCGTTTCACTATTTCTAATTACCATCACCCTGCAACAAACTGGGAATATCCGGGGGGGTACGCTAGGGGGAAATAACATCACTATTGATATAATCATGGCTCTCTGAGCTTGATTCAGGAAAATAATATGGAGCGTAAATCAAATGCCACCTATTTCGTCCATATTAATAACGTATGACCTTGGTTTTGGACCAATTTCCACGACTTTCCCATATTTTCTGACATCAACCACCCATACAGAATCTGCAATAATAAAAGGCTCCAAATCCTTGGCTTTATGTCTTTTGTTGTAATTTGTTTCTTGTTTCTCTTTTATTTCCCTCTCTGGTGATTTCATGTCTAATGACTTATCTAGCAAGCTTGGGAACTGAGGCAAATTTGATACCACCTAGCCCCACTACATCAACAACAACAAAAACAACAACAACAACAACAACAACAACAAGAACAACTATATAATACATTGCCATCTCCAAAAATTGATAATGGTTATCAAAAGTTGAAAATGCTGTTTTCTCCTGGTCCTCTGGTTGTATGGGCACTTGAAAATAACCAGATGCCAAATCCATGGTAGAAAATAGGTGAGACCCCGCTAATTTTTCGTTGGTCTCTTGTATATTGGGTAATCGGCAATAGTCAGTTTTTGTTATGGTATTCAATTCCCGATAATCTATGACCAGCCTATACTGGATATCTTGTCCAGGGTGTCTATAAAGATTGCAAAAAAACTCTCTAGTAACTCACTTTCCACAATCACTCTGTCATCAAGTAATTTCTGGATTTCTTGCTTCATAATCTCTTGTCGATGATACATAAAGTCTACGACCTCTGTTGTACAACTTAGTTTGTCTTCTGGTGCTTTTAACACGTCAATGAACTCAACTGTTTAAGTCGTTGTTCTTTTTAGTGTCTGGATTCTCTAACTTCAATTTTTCCATTATCTCCTTCACTCCTTTTTGGTCAATACTCCTTATTTGAATAGTTTCCTTTTCCTTATTGGCATTCTCAATTTCCGCTTCGTATGCTCTAGCAATTACAGATCTACTCTTTAGAGTAGTTTTATATTCAATAACCTCACTGTCTTTCTTACACAAAACACGTGTCACTAGCAATCCTGACGAAGCTTCTTCATATTGTTTGATTGCTATGTGCTGAGCCTTAACCCTTGAAATTCTGCGGAGAGTTGCTTGACACACTATACTTAACTCATCGGCGGTATAATATCACCTACTCTCTCAGAGTCACCTCTTGGTTTCTGAACCTTTATTAGAATTTCTTCCTAATGGATCCTTAAAATTCCTTCGGAATTTCCCTCGAAGTTCACTGTCTTTCCTCTCCAAAACTAGCTACTGGCAAGCCTGTCAAAACTTCATCACATTGTTTAATGTGTTGAGCCTTAACCCTCTTCTCAAAAGCGTACATGAGTCATTTTAATATAAATTAATTGAATACAAATTATTTGTTAACAACTATACTATGAAAGATAAAATCTTATTATTATTCATAATAAATAGGTACACCTTTAAGGGCCGATATCAATCGACACGCAACCCTCCATTATCCAATAATAGCTCCTGTGAATAAATTCATATAAAACTTGTATTTATTACTCAATTAGGCTTTATTAATTTAGAATTGCTGTTTGTATTCCATATACTAGAAAAAATCGATTTTATATAAATTTTTCATACTCTCTTGGCATGAACGTGTATGCATTTGCAAGTTTAATGCACGAGGCCGGATACATAGAGGAAATTTCGTGCTTTCAAAATTGGAGAAGTTTCATAAATATACTTACGTGTACCCTTGAACTTTGTTTCAATAGTCTATAGTTATGTCTCCAAAGCATACAATTTCATATTTTAACAATATTAGGGCCCGTTTATCAATAGAGGGTTACTCCATGAGTTAAGGATAACCCTAGGTCAAAGTTGTGACAAGTGTTTATCTATCCAGGGTCAACTGCTAACTCGAAAGTTATTCCAGGAAAAAATTAACCCGCATTCTCACTGAAAGTTAGCGTATTTGACCCTGGGTTAACTTCAACATTTTCTGTTATTTTTTGTCTGAATTTTTTTGAATGTTGTGGTTTTGGCTAAAATTTTAAAGATGAAGGACCTAGATTTCAGTGATGATGATCAAGATGTTCTAGAATTACTAGAACATGAACGACGCCCCTACAACGTAAGGTTGAAGTCAAATCCCTAATCCCTTTGGGATTTTGATGACGTCGGCGCGTTTTCGCTTATGAAAAGAATCAATCTTATTTGTTCTAGAAAATCGAGCATAAGACTTGAATTCCCAACAGACAGGTACCACGTAAGTACCTATGCTTGTGGTTTTTTCTCTCAGACATTTTCTTCTCTTTAAAACAAAACAACATATTTCCACACAGAATATAGGTAAGTACACAATACCGAAATTTTCGTTACGGAGACAAAAAATACCATAAAAAAAGTAAAGTAATGAGCAGAAAATGTCAAAAAATCGCTGGCAACGTTGCATAAGTAATGCCAACCTTTAAAGAACCCGAGAGTTTACCAATCCTGGGTTGAAAAAGCTTGGATAAACACTTTTCGAATTGAGTAGGTAGTTAGCCCAGAGTTAAAGTTAACCCAGGGCCAGCAAATTCTGCGAGTTATCCTTTGATTAATAAACCGGCCCTTAAGCTTTTAATTAACGATTTTATTTCAAAAATGATGAGTTTTGATTTATAACGGAACTTATTTCCGGCCGCCATTTTTGTCCTTGCAACCCTGTCGACAGATGTTTCCTTTTCTCTTTCTAATTTGCATTATTAAAAAAAGAAACAAAATTAACAAACTTCGAAAAAAAAATTTGACATTCTCAATTAGAACTGTCATTTTTGGCAATAAAAATTGTAAATTGTATATATGTTTATTATTTTGCAGAAAAATTAATGTCCGGGATCAAAGAAATATGAAAATAATGGCAACATAAGTCGGGTAGAAGGGCTATGACCCCTTGCCTCCTGCAAAACACGCCCTACAAGGGCCTATTTTTACTGATTTTGATTTTCGTTGCGCTGGAGTACATCTTCAATTCGTCGTCGGACATTAGAGGAGCTATTTTCAATACAACCAAGTAAGTAACACAGTTTTATACAGACCGGATTAACTTACTAGACACATAATATAGGGAGTAATAAGACGAATTAACTTCTACCCGGTTTAGGCGAGTATAGTCGAAGATGCACGAATTTTGATAACTTGAGGTGCAAGGGCGATTATTGATCAACCGCGTCGATCCTGTAGTAAAATGGGTATCAGTCAACTGGTCCTATTGAAGCCTCCAGGGGCCTTATTCTGTAAGGAACGAACCGTTCGATTCGGTAGAATTTCTTCGATTGTGACGTCATTTTCGGTTTGGTAGCGCGAAAACCAAACCGAAAATGACGTCACAATCGAAGAAATTCTACCGAATCGAACGGTCCGTTCCTTACAGAATAAGGACCCTGAGCTAAGATCACGACGAGTAGAATTCTACGTTCATGACGTCACCCTACTTGTCATGGTCCTGTCTATATTAGTATATACTTTATTTTTTTCCAAGATAGATTTTGACATTGTCAACTTTGAAACATAAACAATGCCGCTAATGCCACTTATTGGCCGCTATTGTAAAACTGATGTCAACCTGCAGAAACACCTGTTTCAAAGTTTTCAATGTCAAAATCTATATTGGGAAAAAATAAAGTATAGGTTTATACAGACACATGACCTTAGATAAGATAAAAAGAGGGACATAGGTATAACATAATAGAAAATAAGATAAAAAGAGACACATAACATAAGATAAAAAGTTGACATTATGCAGATTCCTTATGTCATTTATTACTTTCTGCTGGGATAATCATTAATCTGGATTCTGGATGTAGATTCCATGTTAAACACATTTTATGATAATGTCTATAGTTGATCTTTGATCTATTCGTTCCGGTCAAAAAAGGTACCCAGAGGAGAGTAGTTTCTGAGGTGGTTCAGTCGGGATCCTATATAAGTGTCAATACAAAAGAAGATTGTCCATAAAGATTACAAAAACAGCGTATGAATATAAGGTCACAGAGTGCAGTCATTTCCCGGGAATATAGGAGTTTTGTCCAAAAACACTGAAAATAACCAACTAATTCAAAACCATTTTGGAATTTCTCTAATTCTAAACGCAATACGCCCGAGATACCTATTCTACTTACTCTTGATAATAAAAGTGTTTTCATAATGCTAACCAAGGATGATACACACTACTACTACTACAAGATAGCCTATCTTCATAAAGCCTCCTCCAAGGACCAAACATCCCCGCCAAATCACTAGTTATGTTATTTCTCGACTTGACGTAGGCTGTTTAAACAGCTGACGACTTAGTTATGACCGCCACACCAATATGGCGGCGATTACCAAAAACGAGGCCAATAAGCAATTCTGTAGGTGACGTAGGTGTATATCATCCTTGAATGCTGTTGTAAGAAAACGGCCTAGAAGTCCTTTTTTTTTTGCTTCGTAATACAATTAATCGTTTTTTTGCCAACGAGATTAAGTCGCTAAATTTCTGACGAAATCGTGTCAAGAGCCAAGGGTTATCAGTCGGACCCCGAAACAGTGTACTAATTGTGTCTCAAAATACGATTATATGATTCTTTATTTCCTTTGAAAAACCTCGAGCTTGCATGCCAACTAACTGCGTACAGCTCAGGTAGCAAGAACCCGCACTGGAAGAGGCAATCTAATCAGATCCGTTCAAAGTTACCTAGATTTTTAGTGGGACTTCAAACAAAGTCCCTGGTGGCACGCTACCGCAGTACAAAAAGGCCTTTACCAGTGCTAAAACAAAGTTTCCCTTACCCAACCGTCGCAACCAGGTGGCGGTGTCAACCTATTTCAGATTATTTTTCCTCGGACTACCCTGCCTGTCCCCCACAATGCAATCAGAAGTTGTCATTAAATCATATTTATTGTTACAATAACTGCATATTTCCATATAGGTATCTACATTAAGAAGCTTGAATCCTCACAAGGTCCTGATAATATTCATCCTGTCTGTCTTAAAAACTGCCCCTTTATTCTCGCTAAGCTCCTACACCTTATATTTAATAAATCTTTGGAAAGTGGATCTTTTCTCAAACCATGAATCTAGAGGCAAATCCATCCTAAAAAAATTACCGGCCTATTTCCATTTGCATTATCATTACCATCCCAAAACCACTTCTATTTAATGTCTTCATCAATGATGTTGCACTCTGCGAAATATCTTAGTTCCTTCCAAAATTGAAAGAACAAAGTAAACAATATACAGCTTTCACAGTTCCGGGTCCTGGACTTTTTCAATTTTGCAGACTTCCTTTTGGCATTCATAATGCCCCTGCAACTTTTCAGAGGCTGTATTGGGTCCTAAGCTTCAACCTTTCAAACTGGACATCGTAAAAGGCATTTTCTGTATCTGCTGACGTGGTTTTTGAGGTTGATGGATTATCTGATGGTGTTATCTGGCTCTTAGTTACTTTTATTTGGGCATTGAGAGGCTATAATGTCCACTTTGCGTACATTCGAAGTATGACATACCATCTTGGGAGAGAAATATTGTTCTGAGTAATGAGTATAGAACTTGGTACTTCGAGGTTTCCAGGTGGCGTAACGTAGATTTGCCTCCGAAAGCTTATACGCATATCATTGATAACAAATCCCATGTGCTGTTTTCACTATATTACTTTGCTCTGTATTTGTTTTTACAATAGCAAAAAAATTTCTATCCGAATCACCCTCACATATTGATAAATGCTTAACATTTTTTTTTTCACATACGAGCCAGTGGTAAAGTATACACTTATCTATCAGTAAGTGGAAAGTAGCACTTAACCGCGTAGACTGCATAGTGTTAAGTCGATTCTACATCTCCGCACCAAAGGTTACCAGTTATACAGGTCTGATACAATTTTGGACAAGTCCGATACAGCTTCAGACAAGTTTGTATACATAGCTTTAGACAGGTCTGTATACAATTTTAGACAGCTATAATACAGACCACAGACCTGCCTAAAGCTATATCGGACCTGTGCGGAGATGTAGAACCAGCCATCTATCACTACAATATGCCTTTTTTCGAAGATGTATAGTTTTCCCACTGAGAACTGAGCTGCGAATAGAATGCAAACTATAGTTTATGTATCACTATCTCTATTGCATTTTCATCGTGTATCTATATATGGTTCCACTTCCCTCTTCGCCTCAGACTAAATTCTCAGTGGGCAAACACCAGATGCTCATAGGTGTACCTAACACATGCGGAAACAGTAATCTGTGTTTATCTTACTTCTAATTTCTAATGTATAGTCAAGGGCGCGAAGTTTTCGAGCGCACCAGTAGTGCAGTCTGGCCTTAACTGGGCCGGGCATTCACCATCCAAGCCCGCCCTAAATCAAGCTTGTTATTGATAGGCAACAGTCCTTCCCCTACAGCGTCAGTCTGTGTCCAAGCGAAATTTGAAAAAATTTTTGGAACAATTATGAATGTCCTTGGGTTATTACTACTAAGCATAACATGCCATACCATTTAGACATAAGAAAGTTGATTAACTTTTAAGTCTTAAGCCGGGTTGACACAGTATTGGATCAAGTAGCGCCCCCCTTGGATCGTTTCAACAAGTCTTACATCCTAGGTAAGTAAATTGGCTACCAATTGTCTTGATCCAAGTTCACTTGAACCGTGTCAACGTGGCTTTATTTTATGTGAATATGAATATGCGCATGTTTTATGAGTAGGGAGTATACAGACGTTCTGAGCCAAAAACAGAGACACTCCCCCTACCACTGAAGATCCAACCAATCCCATGCGCCCTCTATCTCGCTACCGGGCCATTCAAGATACTACTCACACAACCGTCTCCCTACCGCAACCTGTATTCCCTCACCGCGTCCTTAATCTTTCTACTGGGTCACTCAAGATACTACTAAACATACAATCACCACCCTTACCGCACCCTGTATCCCCCTATCGCGCCCTCTATCCCGCTACACACAACCATCCCTCTATGTTTTATGCTGGTTTTGTGTACTGAATTTTGCTAATTTTGTTTTGGATTTTGCTGGTTTTCACTTAACTTGGAAGTAGGATTGCTTGAGATCGAAACTAGGGGAATAATTACAGGAAAATTTCGGTGGAGGGATACTTGATGTATTTTTCTGAAAGCGCGATAAGGGAATACTGGGCTGGGGTAGGGGTACTACCTTGAGTGATCCGGTAGGGAAAAACAGGGTGCGGTAGGGAGATGGTTATGTCTTGAGTGGTAGGGGAGAGTCATGGAGGGCGCAGGAGATGGTTGTATCTTCAGTGGTAGGGGAAGTGTCTTTTTTGTCTCGTCTCTGTTTTGGCCTAGAACGCTTATATACTCCCTACTTCTTTTGAGAATTTGACAATATTCTTTTGTGTTTGAATTTGACGTAAGAACAGAAAACACGGTATGATTCTCTTGCAGCCGTATAATCAACGAGGCTAAGGAGTTATACAACCAAAAAGTGCGTAATCGACTTTTGGACCAAGACCATGGCATTTTCACCTTTCCACCCTTAGTTAAGGGGACAATAATTCTATTGTAATATTATGTCAAAGGAAAAAGCAGATCTCTTAGCTGAACAAATTTGCATCCAATTCCAAGATGGAGGACAATGGCAGAGCTTTTTACACATTGTGTCCACGCCTTAATCCCATAATAGAATGTACTGAAGACATAACAACGTATAACTCTGTTACCACCGCCATCTGGTTGCGACGGTTGGGTGAGGAAAACTTTGTTTTAGCATTGATAAAGGCCTTTTTGTACTACGGTAGCGTGCCACTGAAAATCTAGGTAACTTTGAACTGATACTTTTTAGTAATCTGATTAGATTGCTTGTTCCAGTGCGGGTTCTTGCTACCTAAGCTGTACGCAGTTAGCTGGCTCTGGGGGCCACTAAATTATTTTTTTTGCCGATTCAGATGAAATTCGGAATATAGGTGAAAGGGGTCCAGAAAAGTCGTTATTCCAAGTTTCAGCCCTCTCCGACCTACCGGAGGGGTTTTAGCCCCTATCCTGCCAATTTTGGAAAAATGGAGCATACACGTGCTGCATTTACTTTTTCGAATTTTGAAAAATGAAAAATACCACCGGATAGAGGAGCCAAAAATACGTCGAAAATGTCTCGTTGTGTTTTTCGCTCCGATACTTCATAAGCCCGAAAAAAAAATAAAAAAGATTTTGATCCAGGAAAATTTTGGGGACCCGACACGGCGCCACTTTTTCGCTTATAACTTCGGTAATTTCAAACCGAATCAGGTTTTCTTCGAAAGAGCAATAACTTACCTACAAAACTGTTTTTTATTGGTATTCCAAGTTGTTTCTGTCTCCGAGATTCAAGCCGTCAAAGTTGAAATTTCTCTGAAAATGTATTGAAAGTTTTGAAGTCGATTTTCTTCAAAAACGATGCCTCGTGGAGGAGTAACTCTTATAAGCTTTTTTGTAGTTCTCAAAAAGATCTTCAAGTTTTGTATTTAAGGTTTTTTCCCCAGGCTCTTTGTTTTCCCGCTAGGATGCTTTGGGAGAAAGTTTTCACCTTATTAATCATGTCATAAGACGATTTCGCCCCAGATTTTGGTAGGCGAATGGTTAACCAATAGGTATGATGAGTGACGTAGCTCAACAATCTCATCCGAATTCAGTGGGAAAGGCGTTTGGTACATTTTGACATATATTTATCTAGAATTGAATTGATGTAGCTTCAAAGTGAGACAGAAAGCTACCAAACCTCCACTACCCAGACAAACCGCGGTATAGCATTTGACAGATCAAAGCGCCTACCAAAGTTGATGTGACGGTAACATTCTCCGGTACCTATTTGACAAAATAGAGTATCAACTGAGGCTATAGAGTTTTTGTATCGTGTATTGGCATTCTAACCAATGACATCTTAACACAGATAGACACCGCATCTGATTCATAAACTGATGTTTGTTGTGATGACAAGACCCCCTATAGGCCAGGAGAGCTGGGTTATGGTAAAGGTGCATCAGTGGTGTAAACAACACCCGTCTTTCCCTCTGAACCCATCATTCACTTGACCATGATAATGAATGAATTTTGTTGTTACTGCAATGTCTATCTGTGTTAATATAACATTGATTCTAATTAATAAGAAGTTATTTAATCAATAAAGTGAAGAGTTATTGTTTACCGGAATATCAAGAGGTTATGGGCCCAGATACCACAAAGATCATCTAACTGGAATTGACTTCTCTTACAGGCATTCTATCCGTATGTTGGCTACTCTGAAAACCTTTGGAACCTCCTACTTCATATCCTGAATGATTTAAGATTTAACCTTACCGTATTTAAACGGAAGAAACGCCATCAGGTCGCTCAGGTAATAAAGACTTTGTCTTTTGTGAGCGGACCAAAAGCTGATTGGTTGAAAATTATCTCTTATGTGTCTTGTATTATTAAAGTAAGATCTGTATGAACGCTACAAAATAATCTTATCTTATTCTTATAATATGTGTCTGTGTAAACCCACCATAACTAACAAAAATACAAAATACATTACAAAAAGCAAATAGAAAATATAACTTTTATACAGACTGGACCCACCTACTAGACACATTAGGCAGTAACAAGACGAATTAGCTTGAGGCCAATCTCAGCAAAGAGAGGCTGTGTTGCCAAAGAAGCACGAATTTTGATAACATGCAGGGCGGATCAATGATCCTGCAGTGAAATGGACATCAGTCAACCATTGAAGCCTATATGTTCTTTCAAAAAAATCTGGGTTATTTGCACTTTAAGACAAGAGAACCTAGGGTCGTGGAATTCAAAAAATTAAGATAACATGTAGCCCCTTTATGCGCAAATGAAACCGAAATTTATTTGTAAGAAATTGGCGCCCAACGTGGGGCCAAAAAATCAAGATAACGTGTAGCCCCTTTATGCGCAAATGAAACCGAGATTTATTTGTAAGAAATTGGCGCCCAACGTAAGGCCAAAAAATCAAGATAACGTGTAGCCCCTTTATGCGCAAATGAAACCGAAATTTATTTGTAACAAATTGGCGCCCAACGTGGGGCCAATTTGTTACAAATAAATCTAGTCTAATAGCCTGGTCCTGTCTATATATTATGATTCTCTCTATACATCTTCTCGAGAGAATATCATCAATAGCAATTATTTTCTAGATCCCGTAATAACAATTACGTGCCCCTATGGAAATCGCTATGGTTTAAAGAAAACGGCACAAATATTTCAACAAATCTACGCAACTACAATTTGAATTCTAGTAATTCGCTGGACTACATTGTTACCCCTTTCTATGTAATTGGAAACGCAACATCTATGTATTCTGAAAACGATATTATTTCAACAAATAGGCCTTCGTGTCCTGATATATCGCAGTATTTATGTGAGTATATTTTTTGCATTAAGGGTGTTCATTTGCTTACTTCAAACAGATCTCAAGAGTAGATCTGCATTGACTTGTTCCTTAAATAGTAGATCTTTCTGAGTAGTAGAACAAATGAACACCCTTATCTATTTGGGCCTCAATATACTGATAATTATTGATTTTTAGATGGTAAAGTCCACATTAGCAAACACCCAGTGCCTTCTGTGCAAACGCTACAACACCGTTTTGCCTGGTTACGAGCCGGTGGCCATTGGTCTCCATTAAATTGTACAGTAAATAAAAAAGTAGCCATCGTAATTCCTTTTAGATGTAGAGCTGAACATTTGCTTTTATTTCTACAACACATGCATCCTTTTTTGAAAAAACAGCAACTAGACTATACAATTTTTGTCCTAGAGCAAGACAACAAAGGTCCTTTTAATAGAGCTAGTTTAATGAACATCGGTTATATTGAAGCCTTAAAACTACGTAAATTTGATTGTTTTATATTCCATGACGTAGATCTCTTACCAGAAGACGACAGAAACCTATACACTTGCCCTGAGCAGCCAAGACACATGAGTGTAGCAGTAGACATGTTTAGCTACAAATTGCCTTATCCAGCCATATTTGGAGGAGTATCCGCAATAAGTACTGAACACTTCAAACTACTAAACGGCTTTTCAAATTCGTTTTGGGGCTGGGGTGGCGAAGATGACGACATGTCAAATCGAATACGTCATCACCACTTATATATTTCCCGATACCCCATAGCTATAGCCCGATATACAATGTTGAGGCACAGAAAAGATTCGCCGAATCCGCACAGATTTAACGTGCTCAAAAAAGGCCAAAAGTTGTTCGACAGAGACGGTTTGAATAGTTTGACGTATGAGGTTTTGATGGAAAAAGAGACGTTGCTTTATACGTGGATTTTGGTCAAGTTGAAACCACCTCCGACGAGGTAGGAATTCATATTGCATTGCTGTGGTATTTTGTTTAACGCTGCATTTATTTATATTTTTATATGTATTTGTAAAACGACATATAGGTAGTGCGGATAAGTATTTCAAGCGGAAAATCAAATATTGAGAAGCCAAACTTTACAATTTTTTAGCTCTTAGCTATCTACTCAAAAGCATGTTCATATACTTTTTGTTTGAAATCTGAAAGTTTTGTAGCTGTTTCAGTAATGATCATAGGCATAGGTAGAGTCCGCGTCAAGAGTAAAGAGTACGGTGACGTCAAATACGCACAAACCCAATTTTGAAACTAACCGAACTATCGTATTGTTCGGTGCTGCAAGCATATGGTTCATTGTCGTACGGCCAGCAGGCATATTTATTTAGTTTATTTTCTATCCAAGTTTTGTCCAAAAAGATACCCCGCTGCTGGTTTCAGCTCACGGCAGACAGCGAGAGATAGACGAGGGATAGAGATCCGACCCGCTTCGCGCAGCTTTCCGTGTCGTCACCGTACTCTTTACTGCTGACGTGGACTCTATAGGTACTCTGATATACAAATCTTTAACTCTTATTGTACAAGGGCTTATTTCGTTCAAATTATTTCTATTTATATAGAATTAGTTCTACAGGGTAAAGTATAATTTGCTCAAGCTTTCTATTAATTACCCAACTATTGTTTTTGAAACCTATCACATAGGTACAGTCGGAATCATTGCAATTGGCACACATTCTTTAAAATTCCTCGTATTACGTCAAAATTCTAACCAATAAATCAGATTTGACACATTACGAGGGATATTTACATAGTGTGTGCCAATTGCAATGATTTCCACTGTACTTATCGGCAAGTGTTTCAACTTCAAGTTACCTGTCAGGTCAACTTGATTTTTATGAAACCTATATTTTTGTTTGGCTGTGAGGTTGTTTCTAGAGGTAAGGCAAAGTTTGTGTTCCATTATCTATAATAGTGAAAAAACAAAATAAATAATGAAAAATGTGATACGCTATTATGTAAAATTCGTAAAATAAAGTTGTTTTTCTTATTCAGCAATGTATTAATTTATATATAGTGACTAAACAAGCCTATGCGTGATTTGCAGACACGTCCACAAACATTACAAGCAAATTCTTTGGTTTCTTCTTGCAGGTTGAAGAGTACCTAACGGATGTCAGTCTTCTTCAGTGCAGGACGATCGATAACTATATTTTCCCAGTTGGTCTCAATGCCCAATAATTATAAATCATCGTGTATGACATCTTTGACGCGTTTGTATTGGCTCCCCGATCTTACCATACAAAACGGTTTGGGGTAAACGTTGTTCGTCCATTCTGTATACGTGACCCAGCTATTTCATTCTTACTTTTCTTACCAGTTACAAGGGTCTCAATCTCAATGTTCGAGCAATTTGCAGAACCCAGAACTTTGTCAGAAACTTTATAAAGTTTTAATTCATTTGAAAAATATCTTCCAGTTTTAGATCTGTAGGAGAAATAGCCATTTATAGGATCTTGTATGTTTCAATAAGTTATCTTTCCTTTCTTTCCCTAAGTGTCAACTGAAATTGTACCTAGTCTTCTTTCGTAGGGTAGATTTCTTAGTTCTAGTGGAATTTTATTTATACCTAAATGTCTGAACACTTTCTAGGAGATCCATGTCTTTGATGTAGTAAGAAGACCAAACTGTGAGGCCATATTCTGGTTTTGGTTTAATGTAATAAGTGGTGTACAGTTTTTTTTATCATTTTCACAGTTTGATTTTCAAATGCTTGTCTCATAACGTGTCTATTAGTTGATTGGGGTTTCCCATTTCAGATCATTGGTGACATAGACTCCTAGAAACTTTTTTGAATTTGACGCTGGTTATCTGGTAGTTAAGTCCAAGGTTATTTTGTCCTATGTGTAAAACTACACTTTTTTTCATTAAGTTTTAGCTGCCATGTGATTGTTCATTTCTCTATAATACTCATGTCTTCCTTCAGTTGATGCAGTTGTGTTGAAAGATGTCCATATTTGCAAAGGATTTTACTTTAGTTTTTATTGTTGTTAATTTGTACTTGCTACCTGCTCGAAACATCAGCTAGGAGCTGCTATTTATGAGCTTATTTTATGGGACAAGTGAACGCCGATCAGCTGCTGAGATTTGCTTGAAGCAGGAAAAGCAGTACAAATGAATAGCCCATTAGAAAGATCAGGAATGTACTCTATAAAAAATAGAGAGGCAAGTAAAGATCCTTGTGGTAGGTACTTCACTGACGTCACTGACGATTGGGTACCAATTAGAGCTGATTCTGTTTGTTCGAACATTAAAAGTTCTTTGCTTAAAAACGGAGCTGCTTTATTGCAAGTAGGTACTTCTTTCTTATTCCATGATGGCTTAGTTGGTAACAGAGTCTCTTGTGTGGTACTATATCGAAGGCTTTCTGAAAATCAAGATATGTTACGTCGATTGATTTGCTTTCGTCTATATAGATTTGTAGACCAATCAACTAGACAGCTGAGAAGATTTGTTGTAGTGGGATAAAGCCATGTATTCTAAGAAGAAGAATGTTGTGTGAGACCCCAAATTCAGAAACTTGGCAAGATGTATAATTGGCGAGCGGTGACTTTATTTCTGAGTGGAGACACAGTTTAAAGTGGGTCCTATTTGCGGGTAAAGAGTAAAATACAGAAATATTGTGGTTAACTAAAATAAAGTTTATTTTATTTAAATATACTTGTGAATTTTCACTCCTTGAATATTCAATGGTAATAGTTAATTATTGGACTGTTATCTTGAGTTATTGTGATCGAGTATAGCTAGGATAGCTTTGTTGTTAATTAAATCAAAATTTCGAAACAGTGGCTCAGGATGATGATGAAAATTTTCAGAAGACAGTCTGCTACGTCACAGGAGAGAGAAATCCTTCTACGCATCTTTCCGTGTCGTCATCGTATTCTTTTCTCTTGACGCGGGCTCTATTTATAGTTTGTTTCACGAAGGTTGTGTACCTACGTCATCGATGACGTTATAATTTGGAAAAATGGTTCGCCGTAGATTAATTCATATAAAATCAATTAATTTAATTTGTTTCAGTCAATTTTTATTTGTTAAAAAAGAAAGTCAAATGATGACGTAAGTATAAACTTTAGTGAAACGAACATCAGGCATTTAGGAGTTTCAATGTTATGACGTTGAATTAATTACAATAAAAATAGAGAGGGACTTTCATTAAAGAAAATTAAGTTACATATACGCACAGCCCCATATACGTCATCTCAGAAACGGTAAAATTTGCAACATTGCAAATAGGTACCACCATTAAATCGGGCATTCTCAAAAACCTATACGAGGGTGTCTAGTCTATTTCTCCTAAAGCCTAGTGCTTATAACCGCGAAATTCGTTCTTTTTTGACAATAGTTCTTTTCACGTGGCTCCGGTTTAACTAACCGCGTTACAAATCGGTTAGAGAAATGACCCGGTTACAAAGTGACGTGATGGATACCTACCACTCGAATTTGAGCGGTATGTTGCGGTTTGTTAAACCGGAGCCACGTGAAAATGGTTAATGCGTCGACAATTTAATGGCGTTTCCGATTGGTAGATTTGGTGTGGAACTAGTGCAATTTTTTCTATTTCTGTCTTTTTCTTCTACAGGCCGATTAACAGGATGCAAATACACTCGGTGCGCACTGAATTTACCATTCGGAAACGCCATAATATTCTATGCGTGAATTAAACGTCAAATTGTCAAAGCAATGTCAAAAAAGAGCGAATTTCGCGGTTATAAGTACTAGGCTAGCTGAAACAGATTGGTTTAAAATTGAGAAGGAACGTTCTCCTTGTTGCTATCTGATACCGATGCACCATCTGCAGCAAGGGGAAAAACTAACCCAAACACTATTCCATCAACGCTATGCGGCTTGTGTAGAAGCAATCTGAATCTCGCCACTACGCTAAATCAACAGTTGTGTCGTATGGTGTTTGCACCACAGGTTATGAATCCGCGAGCTTTTCCTTTATGCATACTACCGTAGATTGAGGAAGTAGGGGAAGATGCTTCACCTTATGGAAAATAACAAGACCAATAAATGTTTTCGTCGTTAGGAGCGCTCGCGTCATCCATCTCTTTTCCTAAACATGAATTAAATTTTTGAAATGTCAAAAAGATTTCTGTAAATGCATGTCTGGTATGTAAATGCGAAACGGCAACACTGCAGCACCCGTAGCACACTCGGTGAACTCCGAACGCGTTCGAAACGATAAGACCCAGTTCGTTTTAGCTCTCAGAGTGTTCTCTTTTGCGTTCGGGTTACAATCGAGCCCGTACCCTGAGTTCGCTCTCTTTTCCCTGGGATGGATGGATGGAAAACCAGAGAAATTAGTTGTCACTTTTGAAAAATTATAACCTAAAATATTTAAAAAAAAAATAAATTCGATTTGCGTTGCGTTTCCGTTTTTTTTCTCCGATTTTTTAACTTTTATTTTAGGTCCATTACTAATTTACTTACTCGTTTATTAGTAAAACAAAATTATTATCGAAGCAAAAGCAAAAAAAGCAATTTTTTTTGAGATTATTGACAACTGTGACAAGGGTTTCAGGATTTTTTTTTCTTCGATTTGCGTTCGGTTTATGACCTTGCTCCAGGGCGCACTTTGCTGCAAGCTTAGGTACAAACCGACATAGCAACAATAGACAATTTTTCGCTAGGATAATCAAGCATACTCGAGTATGCTGGGTTATGTGATGTGTTAATTGTGTCATACTCCCCCACCATCAAATTCTGGGATAATCGAGGATCAAGAACACTTAATTTTTTCTGTGAGAACAGGCCAAAAATCACCTTTTCTAAATTTGAAATCGACGAAAAAATTAACTGACTAGCACAGCTTGGATAGCAAGCATTCCATCGAGGTCTGCGGGTGACGTCATCATTCCTTGGCTTCGGTATTGTGCTCAAAGAGTAGAGCGTGCTGAGCGGAGCCATATTCACGTGACCAGCGAGCAAAAAGAGCAGTTGAACGCTGTATCAGAGTGCCCGAAATTTCAATAAACGAACGCGAATGAGCCTGCACCGAGTACACTTTTTAAATAAACGAACGGTAAATTCAAGCTCGGAGAACTCAGATCAAAATACCGAACGCACGGATTATAAGCTACTGATAGTGACGTCACTCGCAGGCCCAGAATTTGATGGAGAGGGAGTAGGGAAGTATGACACAATTGACACATCACATAAGCATACCCCGCGATCTTCAAATGTACCACTTGGTTCAATGATAAACTTGTTTCATGCTCGCTAGAGGCGCTATCAATTGATTTGCGTACGCGTTGTTGATTGTATCTCCAAGGTATCTCCGCTTCTGGGAGAAGAAGGGTGACGTCATCACTAATGGCGATTTCCATTTGTCACTCAGTGCGCACTGAGTGTATCCGCATCTTTTTCTAAAAGCATGTTACATGTAAGGATAAGGATACATTTTTTTGCACTGGTTCGACAAATGGAATGCGCCATAATTAAATTATGACATCAACCGACATAAATTCATGAAATGACAAATGATGACAAAACGATGAACTGGAAAACGTTGTGCTTCTTGTTGTTGCTTTAATATTTCTGTTCGTTGAAAAAGTGTTTCGTAGTGATAGAGCGTTATCTGTGTGTATTTGTATTTGTGAACTTTCACAGTGTTATGTTTAGTGTAAAGACTGTTATTGTTATTTAATTCTGTGTTGTCAAGTGTTGACTTTGTTGACAAGTTTTGAAAAGCCAACTTTCTTTGTAATAAACCGTTATTTATTAAATTTGTATCAAATTGTTTTTATTATAAAATAAATAAAAAGCAAATTTAGGAAAAAATAAGAAGGAAACTGCTCTACAAGCTGCTACAATGGGATGAGCTCATTTCATAGACAAGCAATGGTTGTCCGACCCGTATAACGGGACTGTCCATTCTATCCCCACTATAAACCTTAGGGTGGATTTTCATGCATCCGTTTGTACGACGAAAGATGTCCGAAAAACATTCTATTCTGACATAATCGTATAAAAATATGTCAAAAT